ATTTAAGCCGACCAACAAAACACTATATGGCAAGAGTTACCTGGTGTAGAATCAATGCAATTCTACCGAATGTAAGCCCTATTACCTAAAAAAGTTCACGTTGGGCAAGTATCCAAACTATCTGGTATAAAGCTATACTCTAAAACAATTGAAACATAAATTCCTATTGTATCTACCACCTCATAGGCTACTCAGAGACAAGTCTCTGGTTAACCACCTCACAGCAAAAATAAATACCATCGACATATACTTTATAAACAAAGTAGAGCCAATCTCTAATGTACTTTTCAATGTTAAATACGCTTCAATGGATATTACTTTTGGGATTTTTGTTGCTTTAATAAATTATAACATTTGACTAAGAACACGTTTTAATTTCGAGTGGGTCGGAACGAAACAAAATTATAACATTTCCTGTTTCATCAATGGCTATGTGACTGAAAGGGAAATTATTAGTTATTTTTTGACGCATAATGCAAATTGTGTTGAGTTGAACTACTTAACAAAATTTGATTTTACTAATATTATATTGAAATTGTATCGGAATATTGAATCCACAATCATAAAAATAAGACCAGCTGTTCTTCACATAATTAGCCACTTATGCTTTAAAAGAGGATAGGGCAACTTATGAGCTTCTTGCTGATTCTTTCCAAGGGCGAAATTACATTTTGAATTTTTGGTGAAGCTATGACGATTTTAAGTGCCCGTAAAAGCTTAATCGAATGATAAACTTTTGGATTTTTATTTTATAACACACTAGCGACCCGCCCTCGCTTCGCTTCGGAAACATTAAAACACACATGAAACCAAAAAATAAAATAAAAAAAATTATAAAAAAAGTAGCCTATGTTCATCAGGGACAATGTCGGCTTCTAATGGAAAAAGAATTTTTCAAATCGGTTCAGTTGTTTCGGAGCCTATTCGAAACAAACAAACAAACAAATCTTTCCTCTTTATAATAGTAGTATAGATATAGATCGTCAATAGATGAATATAAATGTTCATTTTACCAAAAACTTTTTTCGTTGAACTAAATCTTGTTTCCAGCAAGTAAATGAAAAATATTATGTCTCAATTTCGCTAGCTCCAACTTTTTTGAAGAAATACACCCACCTGTCGCGCGTTCGAAGGTACGACTTGAATATGACATTTTATTCAACTCGGCTACCGATCCGCACGAAGCTCAAACAAACAAGCTTTGTGCCGTGTGCCGTTTTTATTATTACAAGTTTTAATAAAAATATTAAAAACGACATAATAACTAATTTCTTTGCGAAGCTTATTGATTTTGAGCTGCTTACAGATTTTAGAACTCTCTTGTTTTTTTTTTATTGCTTAGATGGGTGGACTCACAGCCCACCTGGTGTTAAGTTAGTGGTCCTGTTACTGGAGCCCATGGACATCTACAACGTAAATGCGCCATCCACCTTGAGATATAAGTTCTAAGATCTCAGTATAGTTACAACGGCTGCCCCACCCTTCAAACCGAAACGCATTACTGCTTCACGGAGAAATAGGCAGGGCGGTGGTACCTACCCGCGCGGACTTACAAGAGGTCCTACCACCAGTAATTACGCAAATTATAATTTTGCGGGTTCCACTTTTATTACACGACGTTGTTCCTTCACCGTGGAAGTCAACCGTGAACATTTGTTGAGTGCGTAATTCATTAGAAAAATTGGTAACCGCCTGGGATTCGAACACAGGTGCATCGCTCAACACGAATGCACCGGACGTGTTATCTCTTAGGCCACGACGACTTCAAACATTTCTTTGTCTAAAGAATAACACATTATAATATTACGAGTACCTAACTTGTCATTGTGTCAATTTAAGCAGATTAATTCCTGGTTGGCATAAACTACGTAACGCGGCTTTCAATAGTAAATTTACTTATAGGAATCGTCACGTAACGAATTTGCGTTATGCTCCTGACTCTTCAGTTTTTTTTTTTTTTTTTCGGTTATCAACAGCATTGTAAACGCATTATGCTATGTTACTTCTTTTGAGTCCGTACGAGTCTACTTATTCACTGGGAATCCTCCAGTCTGACAATTTCTGCTACAAAGCACTAATAAGTTCTGGTTTAAAGCATGGAGCAGCCGTTACATTTATTTAAAACTTAAACTAAGGTCTAAGTGACTTGAGTCTCTCGAGGAGGGAGGCAGCAACCACACGTGATGTCTATGGGCTCCACTAATTCCTTAGAACTAGTTAGCCCGTAAGTTCATTTTACTCGACTAAGTAAACTAAATAAACAAAGAAGAACATTTTGAAATTGACGGTTTTATTGGATGACAATATGATGTTGTGGGTCGGCGTAACTATCTTTGTGAAATGTGTCTGAGAATCGGGATTTGGGTATATCTGTTCTTGTATTCTTAATGTTTCCGATGACCATAGAAAAACAAAAAACTAGCTTATAAGTCCTTGAATGTGGAAAGTTCATTTATTTTTTTGTTAAAACGAAATATTTATTTTATTCAAAAAACAATTGTTTAAGCTGTTAACAGTTTAACATATCAAAAATTCTTAAGACCCTTAAGTTCTCTTCGCTTTCAAAAGCGCTTGTGCGTATACCTCATAATTGTAATGTTGAAACGTTGCGCCTGACGTGAAAATTATTTTTTCAGTAGCATTGAAAGGCGTCGAAACCAACTTAAAAATTGACTTTTCGAATTGAAATACGACACTGCGCGTGATGGGTCAAAAAGTTATTTTCTAATTTATTTACTTTTTCTAATTACGCTTCTGTGACAGAAAGTTTTTTTTAATGTCCTTATATATAAGTACACAATTGGATATTTCGCTGATTGTGGACGCCAAAAAAATAAACAGTTTTTATTTATTTATTTTTTGTTACTTAGATGGGTGGACGAGCTCACAGCCCACCTGGTGTTCAGTGGTTAGTGGAGCACATAGACAACTACAACGTAAATGCGCTACCCACCTTGAGATATAAGTTCTATGGTCTCAATATAGTTACTACGGCCGCCCCACCCTTCAAACCGAAACGTAGAACTGCTTCACGGTAGAAATAGGCAGTGCGGTGGTACCTACCCGTGCAGACTCACAAGAGGTCCTACCAGCAGTAATAAGATCTAGATCTTTGACATTTATTTGTTCAGATAACGTTGACAGTGTCATCCTCCTTCATTCACTAATCCTTCAAGCTGATAGAAACGACTGCCTTATGAACACAGAAATAAACAGGACAGTGGTACGAATTTTGGGCTATAGCTCATAAAATTCGGCAAAGCGAAGCCGCTGCCTATCACCAACTTTTAAACATTTCAATTACTTGCATTTGAAATCAATTGATTGTTCATTCACAATCTAGATTCAACAATCATAAAACTCAAATAGTGCACAGATTTTTTGTTTACTTTAGAACGTTTTTTGAATTGAAATACTATTTTTAAGTTCCATCACGCACCAGACCGTTCCAAACACAAACTGTAAGATTCTCCTTGTTATCAAGTATTCGAAGCTCGCATACCTCGTTAGGTCCGGTCCGTCCCTACATACCTGCGTTGCATATGTTATCTATGCAATGTGAAAAGTTTTTTAAAAGAAAATTCACGATTTCCTTTTGTTTATTTGTTACATGTTGACGTACGAGCCAAGTAAATCGGATTGCCTTTGATTCGGAGACAACCCGAATGGAATACAAAGAAAATGTATTCGTTCAGGATCCTTAGTTGAAAATTTGTTTTGTAGTTCACTTTCTTTGTAGATATTTGCTGATGTATAGTAAAACTGAATTTAGTAATTTTTTACGATGGTATAGTAAATATATTTGTGATAATTCTGGTCTATAAGGTACCGTACGTTTTTTCTTTATTACGAGGGTGACACTGAAAGCTTTTAGAATATCAAAAACTGAGCAAACTAGCAAGCTATTATTTCTATTTTATCTTTTCAAAATAGTTTCCATTCAGATCAATACATCGCTGCATTCTATAGAACCACCGAGAAAAGCACTTTGCCCACTCTACCACTGCTTCCTTGGCGTCCATAAAATGTTTTCCTTGAAGTTTTTCTTTTATTTTCGGGAATAAATAAAAATCGCAAGGTCAGGGCTATATGGCGGGTGACCCAGCAATTCCACGTCTGACGACTCCAAATAGTCGATCGTTTGCCCGGCGGTGTGCGAGGAGGCGTTGTCGTGGTGAAGGACGATCCTACTGCGAGGTAGTTTCTCTCGAACTTTTTCCAAGACTAGTCGTTTGAAGTCGTCGTGGCCTAAAGGATAAGACGTCCGGAGCATTCGTATCGAGCGATCCACCGGTGTTCGAATTCCGCAGGCGGCTACCAATTTTTCTAATGATATACGTACTTAAAAAATGTTCACGATTGACTTCCACGGTGAAGGAATAAAATCGTGTAATAAAAATCAAACCCGCAACATTATAATTTGCGTAATTACTGGTGGTAGGACCTCTTGTGAGTCCGCACGGGCAGGTACCACCGCCCCCCCTATTTCTGCCGTGAAGCAGTATGCGTTTCGGTTTGAAGGATGGGGCAGCGGTTGTGACTATACTGAGACCTTAGAACTTATATCTCAAGGTATGTGGCACGTTGTTGATGTCTATGAGCTCCAATAACCACTTAACACCAGGTGGGCTGTGAGCTCGTCCACAAACCTAAGCAATAAAAAAAATAAAAAAAAGTGGCAAGCATTTGTTAGTATACCACTCAGCAGTAACTGACTTTTGATCTTCTAAAGCAATTGTTGCATGATGATCGGTCCTTCCGAAGAATGAGGTCACCATCTTTTTTCCTACACTTCGACCTCTCTTCAATTTAGTTGGCAACTCCTCGGAAGGAAACACCCACTGAGCAGATTGTCTTTTGGTTTCCGGATCATAGCAATAAATTCAGCTTTCGTCACCCGTAAGTATGTCGAACACAGCTTTTGAGTCACCTCCGTCAAATCTTTGTATCATTTCACGGCACCAATCAACACGACGGAGTTTTTGGGCCTCGGTCAAATAATGAGGTATCCACCGGGCACATAGCTTCGTAACGGCTAAATGTTTGTGGAGGATTTTGTGCACTTGACTCATACAGATGCCTAAGCTTGTCCGAATCTGCTGATAGATTACTCTTGGATCAGTCTCTATCATACACCGCACAACACACTGTTATCTTCAGTCGTCGCCGTAGAAGGCTCTCCCTCACGCAGAGCATCGTTGAGATTGGTGCGACCACGATTAAACTCATTAAACCAGTTATAAACAGTGGTCCGAAATAGGCAGGGTAGTGGTACCTACCCGTGCGGACTCAGAAGAGGTCCTACCACCAGTACACCTATTTGATGAGACACTTTTCTAAAACAATTTTCAATTTCTAATTCACTTATAACACGATGTCAATCTAGAGTTTAAATTCGGTTACCCATAAATTGGAATATAATCTTTATGCGTAAATCACCGGCTTACGGTCATTCAACGAGCATTAAGAAATAAATCAAAGTAACACAAATAAATAAATCAAAAAGAATCAGTAAGTAACGTTGAGTTCTCATTAAAATTTATCACGTAAAGCTAAGATAAAGGACTTGTATAGTTAACATAATCTCTACAACCCTTCTGACCCGTCTTATTAATGCATTAAATTATAGTTATGTAGGATTGGTAAGAACGGAACGTATGAATAGGGTGTGGAACGGAGCGTTAAGATGTTAGTGAGAGAAAACGGAAAGAAAGAGAGAAGAGAATGACAGACAGAATGACAGAGAATTGGAAGATGGCGAAGACGGTTGAAAAATGAGTAAGACGTAATAAAATTAGTGTTAATTATTAATTACTATTATAATAGAAAATTTTGGAATAGTGTAACTTTTATTTTATGCGCTGCGATCCCTATTCTACATTTTTGGGGGCTCGTCCGGGATCAAAACAAATATTCGTCCGGGATAAATGACAAATATTCGTTCGGGATCGACGCCATAAAAAATTCAAAATTTTAACGAAAGACGTGGTAAGGAGAATAGACGAATTTTTATAATAGACGAAAATACAACGACGACGAATAAACGACGATTATTAAGAAGAAGACGAATTATAAACACGTAAGAAGATTTCAAGAAGAGAGAATATTTGAAGACGAATCACACTCACGTTGTTAAAGAAAAAAAACGGTGACAATTATTTCAAGATGTCGGAGAGCCAAGGAACTTTTACATTTACGGAAAACAAAGACCCAATTTTCAATTTAATTGATATGACAAGTTCAGTGGCGAAGATCACATTTACACCTCGACGAAATGGGCGCAGGATCTAGAAGACAACGCCGAAATATTTGGATGGTCGCCTCAACAACTACTTATCATAGCACGTAGATCTTTATCAGGAACAGCACAGTTATGGTTAAAGACGGAGAAGGTTCATAAAAGTTATGAAGGACTCAAGGCAGCCGTGCTCAAAGAATTTCCTGATGTGATGAACAACAAAGAGATGCATGAGCTCATGACTGCGCGCAAGAAACATAAAGACGAGTCATATTACCAATATATGCTAATTATGAAGGAGATGGGAAAACGAGCGAGATTCCCAGATTACGTTGCCATTCAGTACATCATAGACGGCATTACAGACCTGGAGATGAATAAGGCAATTTTGTACGGTGCGGTCACCTATCCGGTGCTGAAAGAAAAGTTGTTGTTGTACGAAAGAATCAAAGAAAAATCTGCCAAACAGAAAGCTGAATTACATATTACACGAACTGTAACGGCTTCGGTTAGAGATTCCATGTCAAGAACCAACCAGTATTGTTACAATTGTGGAGAAAAAGATCATCGAGCTAGTGCATGCCGAAATGGAATGAAGTGTTTCAGGTGCAATGAATTCGGCCATATTAGTTACAAGTGCACCAATTCTAACACAGGAAGTACCGAAAGTTCGAGTTACACGAAAACGTCGGTAAAACAGCTGCCGAGAGCTGTCAGATCAGCCAATCAACGGGTTCAAATGCATCCATTGATAAAACAGTCCGATGTAGCACCGAAAAAAGAATCGGTTATGTTCGGAGCGACTTCGTCGGAAAATCAGAGCGAAGCATGCAGCCAAGAAATTTGCAAGANATGTTCGGAGCGACTTCGTCGGAAAATCAGAGCGAAGCATGCAGCCAAGAAATTTGCAAGATGAAAGATGACAACTGTAATGACAGCAACGTCATGCAGGTTGTAAACAAACAACGTGACCAGCAACATAACCAAAATAAACCACTAAAATCGGTGAAAATAGGTGATAGATTAATAAGTGCATTAATAGATACAGGTAGCGACGTGAATTTAATATCAGAAGATCTGTGGAAAGAGTTAAACTTGCCGTGTAACGATGATAACATGATCTTATCTGGACTTGGACTCTATAAAGTAAGATCGTGCGGTAAAATCTTTGCATGTATTGTTATCGATGAACGATGCTATAACAATGTAATTTTTCATGTGGTACCGAATAGGTCAATGTCCTATAGATTAGTTATAGGACAAGAATTTCTACAAAATGTTGTGATGTTAGTACGTGAAGGTGTTGTACTATTTTTTAAGAAAGGTGATGAATGTTTGTCGTGTGTAAATTGTGTGACTGAAGTTGATGCTAGTGAACATATTAGCAATCCCGATTTAAAGACGGAAGTAACGCGAATTGATGAGTATAAGCCGATACAGACGAAAGAAGCTCTTATTAAGATGAAGATAATGTTAAAAAATGACGTACCAATAGCTCAGCGACCTCGAAGAATGTCACTTATTGGAACAAAGACAAGACGTAAAAAAGATGTAAATATGATTGACGTTTTGGAACAAGAAATTAATGATGGATATGATGAAAATAAAGATAATTTAAGACAGAAGGCCAAGCAACAGATTAAGAAGATACAAGAAGAAAATAATATAACATTTAATGATAAAGGAAAACGTAGTTCAACTTATGAGTTGGATGATTTAGTAGTCATTAAGAGAACTCAGTTCGACCCAGGGCTTAAACGAAAGCATTTAGGACCTTACAAGATTATTAAAGTTAAAAAATATGATAGGTATGATGTCGAGAAACTGTATGATACTACCGAAGGGCCAAAGAGGACTTCCAGCTCTGCAGACAGTATGAAGAAATGGCCAGATAAAGATGAATGATTATTTGTGTGCGTGCTTGGATATATAACAGTTGTAACTATAATACTACTCACGTATCCTCACAAATTTTAGGCTATGTATTTAAAACTTATTTTGTTATTCAGTACATAATTTTTATTTGTGTAAAAAGTAAGACTGTCAGATTCAGAACTATTTTATTTTATGATGTTGTATGGAGGAGCCATATCTGAGGGCAGATATGAGAGCAGGATGGCCGAATGTAGGATTGGTAAGAACGGAACGTATGAATAGGGTGTGGAACGGAGCGTTAAGATGTTAGTGAGAGAAAACGGAAAGAAAGAGAGAAGAGAATGACAGAGAATTGGAAGATGGCGAAGACGGTTGAAAAATGAGTAAGACGTAATAAAATTAGTGTTAATTATTAATTACTATTATAATAGAAAATTTTGGAATAGTGTAACTTTTATTTTATGCGCTACGATCCCTATTCTACAGTAATTAAAAAAAAAAGGGTTATTTTTTTCTTTTTCCCCCCGAGTAATTATGAGCAGGCCCAACCTCTGGTGCCCACTTATCGTTAAATTAAGCAACACGTCGTATGTTTATATAAAAAAAAACAGTAAAACGTACATAGATAAACGTTAGTACCAAAAATATCTTTAGGAGATTCTCATTTGTAGTATTTTGTTTTAAATTCAGCATCTCAAACAAAAGTTAGCGCTTTTCACAGCCTCGGCAAAGTTACTGTGGCGGATAGCCATCATAAAAACACAAGATATTTGACAGATGACTGAATCTCGCTCAAGACATTTTCAAAATAAACTTGCATGTAATACAAGTTCCGAACAACAACATTCGGACCAGCGTCGGTCTACCGAGCAATACCACCCGATCAGTGGAAGGTCTTCCTTCGTCGTAATTCCCAAATTACTATAAATTACATTTCATTACAAATTTTGCTTTTCACTGATTACTCAGTCAGTCAGTGAAGTCAGTGGCAGACGACATATTTAGTGGGTCTTTTTAATTTGATTTATTATACCCGGTTCTGAAATTAATTGTTTATTTTTCTATTTTCTAGGTACTTTCAGAGTGCTCTGACACGTCCTCAGCAAGTGATTTAGCTATACGGTATTCCCAGTACATTTATGAGCAATCCTAACCCCTGTCAAACAGGTTGGCCATCATACCGATGGCCATCGAAACGAATTTATGATAAAATAAATACGTGATTTTAAACTCACCCATCAACTTTGACAGCGTGTACCAAAACTCGTGTTATTACAACACCTAGAGGTAATGGAATGAAACCCATCCTTCTAGCGACCAAGTCAGAATGATCAGAAAAGGCATACTTTTGTCTTGTTTGTGCTACATCATATGCCAAACTGACAGTGTACTCCCTGTACACTCCGTATGNTTATGATAAAATAAATACGTGATTTTAAACTCACCCATCAACTTTGACAGCGTGTACCAAAACTCGTGTTATTACAACACCTAGAGGTAATGGAATGAAACCCATCCTTCTAGCGACCAAGTCAGAATGATCAGAAAAGGCATACTTTTGTCTTGTTTGTGCTACATCATATGCCAAACTGACAGTGTACTCCCTGTACACTCCGTATGGAATTTCATTAAATCTGTTCAGAAAAACAACTAAAATGGATACACAATATAAAAACATTGTAAATCATTTCATCTATCAAAAATGCTTATACCTGGTTATAAAGGCATGTTTCACCCAATCAATAATAACTTCAAAAGTTAGTACAAGTATACAATCAGGTGCCAGAATCCAAAACCTTTCCTCTTTCCACATATATTCCTTCATGGTTTGTAAAACTACTATGAAAAGAAGTACAGAAAGATGTAATCTTTCTCGGACATCACTGCAGGACACTTGAAACAAATTGTTCTTATCGAATTTCTTGAAGACACTTCCTTTTAGCTCTACAAACTGTAAAATAATTCTCAATCGTTAATAAAAATATACTTATGTAACATGAAAACTAGAAAAAATTCATGACACTCACATTATTTGACATCATAATGATCAGAAGACTTTTGTTATTTGAATTAAACGCTACATTAAGTGTTGTAGCCTGGAATAGCACCAAAATACTGTGTAAAACTGATAAATTTAATTAAGGAAACATTTTACAATAGCAGAACGAGGGATTCAGAAATTAATCATTAGCAGTTTACAGTAAGATCCTGCATAATGCTGTTTCATTTTGTGCTATTGGTTTTTTGGTTTAGTTTAGTTTATAGTTTTTTATTTGAATTGTGGGATTCACCGAATTTGCACACAGCATTAGGCTTCCCAATATCCGAATCAGTTTATGTGTGTTTCCTCATTCCTACAGTGTCAAACATTTCTTGCCATTATTATTATTATAAATTTATATAATATAATGATTGATATAGTGACAAATATTGTGATTTTTAGTTTTTAGCATAGGTGATATAATGATAATGATAATAAAAAAAGAAGAAAATAAAGCAAAAAAAGCATTTCCCTGGAAACTAAACAAATGATTAGAAGATTAGATATTGGTGAACATCAATCTCAAATTTGTGCTGGATTGCTTTTAGCAACTTCAACAATAAAGACTGTTCTTAATGCAGAAAATTGGAAATACACAAGAAACTGATTGATCTGAGATGTTAACACACTGACTTGGAGTTTTATTTCATTTTATATGGTATTTGTTTATTATGATCCTACATATTTTATGTAAGATTTTTTTTTGTTTTGTTTTAAAAACAGAATTGATAAATTTAGTGGTAAATTATCTGGCCAATTTCGTACCCTTCTTCCCCTAACCCCATTATTTACATGATGAGATAATATTGTTTAACACTGTTTCATATTGCGCTCTACTTTGACTGAATATATGTTCGCTGTACTGTATTTTTTTGTCATAGAAATTGTGATTTGCACTCAGACTTGGTTTTTGAATTTTCCTAAGATATTTTCCGGCGCTAAAGAATTTGCTATATACATAATAATATGCAGACTTGGGTAATAGTTTATCGAATACCAAATTTCATCAAAATCTTTACAGTACTTATCCATGGTGCATAAAAATATACATACAATAAAACACTATTATTATGTTAAGATGTACCATATTCAACGTTTGATAAATTTGTTGCTGGGTACTCTCAACTTATTATTATTTTATTTGTTACTAAATATTTTTTTGTTAATAGAATGTAATTTGCAATGAATATTGAATATTCCAATTATTTTAATTTAAATTCCAATTAACTACTTATTTTAATTTTTTTGGCTAATCTCGTTTAGGAATTTATTCTGTTCATATTAAGTTAATCATCTGATAGTAGTAGATCATATTTTAGTTAATCATTTGATAATTCAAATTTATACTGAGAATGCATAGGTAATTACTGGATTTTTAAATAGTCCAATTTGTATTATTCCAGGTGAAACAAGAGCAAGCAGTGTGTTGTTTTTGCAAACTAAAACATTAATGACAATGCAGCTATCTGAGAAAAAAGGTTTCTAATGCAAATGATCAAAGCTTAATATTAATCAATCAAGATAATCAAATTCATACATATAAATACTAAAACTTATTTAAAATATGCAGTACCAAATAATTAAAATTCTTACTATGATAATCAGTACTTATAACCATTTACAAAATCTATGCACATCTTATAAGATTTTTATAATATTTCTTTAAATTAGCAAAGGATACAAACATAGGTCATTGCAAATAATAAATGGGGAATAACTCCTAAATGTTCCCTTCTTCTGTCTCTTGGTTCTGTCGCTGTCCAGAACAAAGCATCAATTGTATCTTGGCCAAAAGCTGAGAACAGTCTATCACCAACTTCCAGCATGTTGTAAAATATATATAATTTCATAACACTCTGGCTTTTAACTAGATGATACATCATATTTGTGTCTATGTAACACATTAATATACTGCACACTAACAAAATAAATCCTTTTAAGACATCACAAGTTTCAGCTGGCTTCAAAATACTTTTAGAATGGTGTGAAGAAAATCTGCAATCATCCAATAGTAGTGTTTTATTAAGTTTCTACTATGTAATTAAATTGTAGATAAATTTTAGAGATCTCATAAAATAGTTTTTTTTTTAAATGAACTTACCCAAAACAGTTTCTAAATAGCCTATTACAGAATGACCAAAATGCTATTAAGAATCTTAGAGGAAGAAATGTGTAAACAAATAACAAAGAATCTGCACACTGGAAGAAACCATAGGCCATGAATTTTTCTAATTCTTGAGGGATTTTTATAAAAGAATACACTTTTTCTCGTCTTGCTGAAAACCTTTCTTCATCATGTTCAAGTAAATAGCCTCGTGTAAGCTCTACATGTAAAAAAGCGAAAAGAGAGGCAGATTTCTCCTCATCTGTAATCATTAAAAAATATTTGAATAGTGATTGCTTTTTACATTAAGACATTAAAACTTTTAGTATTTTAATGTTTACCTCTACATCTAATATCTTTTCCAATTGCTGTAGAAGTTATTTCATTAGAAGATTGCTGAACATTGGTTACTGACTTAAAACGTAACCTTTTGGGTTGGTCGTAAATTTCATTGTTCGTTGTACTCATTTTCTTAATATGTAAGAGATCTCAATCACATTACTAAACAAATTAGGTTGCTGGTGTCTTATTAATCATAATTTAGACTTGTTAAAAAAGAGGAAATCCATGAAATAATATTTATGATTGGAAATATTGGAATATTATTTATTGTACCCAATGCACAGTGCAATCCATGAAATAATATTTATGATTGAAAATATTGGAATATTATTTATTGTACCCAATGCACAGTGTCTCGAATATATTAAGTGTATAATCTATGGCACAGTGCACAGTATATATATATATATATTTTTAAGTGATTTTATGACCTGGTAACTAAGACCTTTAAGTCATGTCTTATTTTAATTTATATTCTTATTTTTATGAAAAATGATAATATGGAGTGAAATGAAATGAAAATGATTAATTTGAGACGTTAATCAACTGGGATGAAATTAAATGAAATGAGATGATATGGAATGAAATATAATCTTAGTAAAATGGTTGTCATTTACTAAGATTTTTTTCAGTGGACTTTTTGGAGGATCCCGAGAAGTTGCGTCCAGCGGCTTTGTTTCATTTTCCCACATTTGTGCACTTTCACAGATATTAAACAGTTAATAAACCACCGTTATTACACATTTAAACCTGAAGAAACACTAAATAGACAAAATAAAACAAATCACACAACTTCACTCCTCGCGTTCCCGCCAAAAAGTCGTGCACAGTTTTTTTTTTTTTTTGTGGAGTTTATGGCCTCGTTTCTAGACCTTTAGGCCATCGTGCACAGTATATTATTAGCAGTGTGACCAGGTTTTGTTCGACGAATCTAATGCTTGTGGAGGTTAAAATCTACTAAATTCTACCAAAAGAGAACGAGAAATACTCAAAATCTATTATACTTTTTTTTTGCTGTCGTGTTACAATGTAAAAACATGAATCTCCTTGATTAAACAATAAAATAATAAAAAGAAACCACAATTAATTAAAGAGACCAATGTTCTTGTTTTTAAATTAATTGCTTTTACTTCAAGGAAACTACGATCAGCGGCAATGAAATATTTCGTTATTGATCGTGAGGCTTTAGTATATAGTATTTGGTATTAAAAAATTGATCAGTAATTGAGAGGAACGAAATTTATTCTAGTTACGGACTATAAGCCTCTTATACATATTATGGGAGCACGCCGTAACCTTCCTAAACTAGCCAATAACCGATTGGTAAGATGGGCCCTAGTAGTGGGAAGTTATCAATATGACATTTACTACAGGAAAGGTGAAAATAATACGTTAGCTGACTACCTTTCCAGATTACCAAACCCTGAAACGGAACACTCCGAGACAGAAGGGCTTGTACATAAAATANATAAGCCTCTTATACATATTATGGGAGCACGCCGTAACCTTCCTAAACTAGCCAATAACCGATTGGTAAGATGGGCCCTAGTAGTGGGAAGTTATCAATATGACATTTACTACAGGAAAGGTGAAAATAATACGTTAGCTGACTACCTTTCCAGATTACCAAACCCTGAAACGGAACACTCCGAGACAGAAGGGCTTGTACATAAAATAGAACTACGTCTTCTGAGCACTCGAATGACTGACCTTAACCTATCAGAACAGTTACTTATGAAAAAAACTTCAAAAAATCTCATATACTCACAAAAGTTTGTCAAAATTTAAAAACCGGCCGGAGAAAATCAGAATATAATCTAGAAATGAAACTATTCTACAGAAACCGGAATGAATTATCTGTTGAAAATAAGATACTTATGAGGCAAGGACGCATCGTTATACCTACAGCGGCACTACAAGGCCATTCTTACATACCTTCATCGAGGACATCCTGGCATGTCTGCTATGAAAGCACTTTCACGTTACTATGTCTGGTGGCCTAGCCTTGACGAAGACATAGAATTATTGGAACGAAGTTCCTTATCGCGCGTTGTGAAAGGGGGCTAGACGGAAAAAATTCTTACGAAAAGTTGTCACGACACTTTTTAGATCCGTCATTCTGACCAATCAACGTGTAGGCGCTTATCGCGTGATATTGCTCGTATCCGATTGGTCCGCGTAATGAGTACAGTTTCTCGAGATAGCGTTTCAACAATAGTAATTTAGTTCATAGTATTGTTTTTTTCTTCTTCATAATGCCGTAATTTATTATTATAACTTAAAAAAAATATTACAATTCCTTCACTAATTAATCGAAAGGAACTTCGTTCCATCCGGGTGTCCCTTGACACCTCTGAAGTTTTTTGTCAAGAAATGTACCAGATGCCAACAGAACCGTCCTTGTAAACCTGAACTTCCTGTATTTTCCTGGTCCATACTAGAAGAAGTATGGGAGAGAATCCATATCGACTTTGCTGGACCGTTCGAAGGATCGTATTGGTTGGTATTGTGCGACGCTCTCTCCAAATGGGTGGAAATACGATTGATGAAACACATCAACACCAGATCATTTTGTCTTACACTAGATAACATATTTTATACATTTGGTTTACCAAAAATGATTATATCCGTTATTGGACCTCAATTTACATCTTATGAATTTAAAGAATATTGCACAAAGCAGTGTATTTTACATGTCACATCATCTCCATATCATCCTCGGACAAATGGGCTGGCAGAACGTTTAGTCAGAACATTCGAAATAAGAATGGCATCGGTAGACAACACAAATCCATCGGTAGACAATATAAATCTCGAGTGCTAATTATTGGAATTTTTTTTACATACAGAAACACTACGCACGCGTCCACCGGTAAATCTCCAACTAAGATGATGTTTGGACGACAATTGAATTGCATATTTTCCAACATTCGGCCAGACAAAAGAAGAATAATTCAGTATTTACAAGTAAAAAAATATATTCGTACCACATCATCGAGCTACCGACCAAGTGACGAAATATATATTAAAATACGAAATGATAAAATATGGGAACCAACGGTAATTACATCCCGAAAACATAAATATTCATGTATTGTTTCAACACCAGGAGGACTAGATAAACGAAGACACGCTGATCACATCAGACCACGGGTGTCCTCCACCTCCGAAACCCCGAGGAATGAAAGGGTGCATTCTTCTATGCTGCCGGCGACTGCTTCTCCAGATATTAGAAATATTAGAATGGAAACAACAATAAGCGAAAGGCTAACTATTAGCAAGAATTCGGCAGCAGTAACATCGCAGTCGCCTACAAATGTACCAATTTCTCTAAATTCACCTTCACAGCATCGAAGTTATACTCCTCACCTGTTCCGGTCTCCACTCCTGTGCCATTTGCTCCACGTCGAATTAATCGACGTATACAGGCACCCCGCCGTCTGATCAACAAGATGTAGATGGGGAGGAATGTTTTAACCTTCTTTTCCATATTCTATTATTTGAATTATTATACATCGAACACATTGTCATTTTTGCCACCTATTATTAATACATATATCTTACGTTAAGTCGGTTAAGTACCTATGTCTTGAAAACCTTGTTTTATTTTATTAAACTCATCTGTTTACAAGGACAATAAAAAAAGCATGTTAACCTCAAAATATAAGTAAATGAAAAATACCTTCTTTTTTATTATGACTTGATTTAATTGTATCTGTGTAATTGGTATAATAACTATGAACCTAAAACTAGAATTTTAACTATTTATTTTCGTTTTGTTTTTAAAATAAATTTTATCAACATTAAAATATACGACAACACCGCGCACGCCTTCGTTAACGTTGACGTTCTCGTTGTGTGCTTCGTAGGTACCTACTTCAGATTTTAAGGTTGCATACGTTTCTGTTTTTGTTTAACATTCACAGCTGTAAATGAAAACTATCATAGAATATTTTTTCTAAAACATTTTGCTAATTCAAATATAATAGGTCTAACACAACCATTATGGCTTCGAACGAAGGGCGAACTACTCAATCAAACTTGCATCAGCAAGACTTATCTAAATTGGTAAGTAAAAATAAAGAAAATCTACGTCAATTTTCCAAGAAATATAAATAATTATTTAGGTATCGTTAAATTCCACTGTGATATGGACTTTTACGAGTGAAACAATTAACTATATAACCTATACAACACCAACACCCTGGTGATTTCAGGATGTCACAAAATTATCTGCTCTCTCTCCCGAAGTCATATCAAGGCAGGCGACGATTAACATCGGTACAATTGGACATGTAGCTCATGGAAAATCTACTGTTGTGAAGGCTATTTCAGGAGTACAAACTGTAAGGTTTAAGAATGAATTGGAAAGAAATATTACGATCAAATTAGGTAAGTTTAATTTTATATATACATAACTGGTTAGTCTTAAATTTATTAACAAGTAACTGTATAGATGTATTTAACTCAAATTAAACTAAAAAGTTGATTGGGGATTACAAATATATAGTCTTGCCATACAAATTGTTACAAACAAAACACTATTTACAATAAAAATTAAAGAAAACAGTTGTCTTAAGTATCATAACTCATAACTGCTTTATTTTCTTTGTTGTATTTTTAAAAATCTAGGCCTCATAAAAATTAACATAACTTAATTTTTTAATGATTGGTCAAAAAGGTAAACAAATTGTGGCTATGGTTTAAGTTCGCTTCATGGATTTAGATCTCATTGAAGAAATGTATTTACATAAAATTGTATATTTCGAGATTGGTTTTTTGTTCACAGTTTTTATTGTGCTAAAGTATGACTATCATTTGAATGGCCAGATATTCATATATTACAAACAGAAGATGTCTTATTGTACCTATTAGTCTAGTGAGTAATAGTTCCTCACATACTTTTGTATTGAGTAATCACACTTAGATTCAATTTAAAGTAAATAAAATATTGGTACCAATATAAGAAAATCTGTACAGGGTAACTTTAAAAGTGAATCATATTCCTATGAAAACAAATGATATTGAAATTCAATGGATTGATTAAATCACGTGTACAAATTAAAATTCTTATAAAATTAGTATAATAAGTAACACTACTTATGGCCAGACTATTTATTAAACAGATGCTTTGCAATGTACCATGTGTAGTACTTTTCAATAATTTTATTTAAAGTTCTACTCAAGTTCATGTATACATTTTGAAAAATCTTCTGATTTCACATTTTTCAATGTGTTAATTGAAAAAACATGGTATGTTGCAGAGCGCCTGTCGGATTCAGTTTTAAAATTGTATCGCGAAAGAGCAGATGAAAAACATGAAAGTATATTTATTGAAAAAGTTAGAAAAGTAAAAAAGAGAACTATACCTGTAGAACATGAAGATGCACCAGCTATTAAGAAAAAAAAGAGAAACAATATAAAAAATGCAGAAGAATATATTGTTGAGAAAATACTAGGGTTCAAGTATGAAAATGGAAAAGAATACTTTCATGTGAAATGGAAAGGATGGTCTGATAGTGAAAATACTTGGGAACCTATTGAAAACCTAGATAACTGTCCTGCAATAATAAAAAATTTTTTGGATGAAGAAGAAACTAGATTCTGTGTTAAAATACAAAAACTCAAAGAAGAAATCTCATTTGGCAACCTCTTAGAAGATAATAATCTCATTGAAAGATTTACTGAATTTGAAGATGCAGATCTCAGCAAAATAAAAGAGAATTTACAATTAAAATTTTTGTCAATACTGTTCCTAACTGAGAAAGAGGAGCATTGTGGAGCCACACTGGTTGAAGAAACTAGAGATATCCTACAATTATATGTATTGGTTAGGAAGAGATGTAAACAATTAATGCAATTGAAAGAATGGGAGGATCATTTAAATCAGGTTGATAAGTCAAAAAAAATATCAGTACAAAATAATGTAGATTTTGCTGGACCACCAGAAAATTTCACATACATAAATCAATCAATACCTGGCACTGGTGTCATCATTCCGGATGAACCCCCAATAGGCTGTGAGTGTACAGCTTGTAATTGCAGATCTAAGTCTTGTTGTGGGATGCAAGCAGGCTTCTTTGCCTATACCATTAATAAGAGACTTCGTGTTGCACCAGGCACACCAATTTATGAATGTAACAAAGCATGCAAATGTTCGTCTGAATGCAGCAATCGAGTTGTACAAAATGGACGAAACATTAAATTAACTATTTTCAAAACATCAAATGGGTGTGGATGGGGTGTAAAAACCGAGCAAAAAATTAGAGAAGGACAATTCATATGTCAATATATCGGCGAAGTTATCTCATTCGAAGAAGCTGAAAAACGAGGAAGAGAATATGATGCAAATGGATTGACTTATCTGTTTGATCTTGATTTTAATTCTGTTGAAAACCCATATGTTGTTGATGCTGCACATTTAGGAAATATATCACATTTCATCAATCATTCATGTGATCCAAATCTGGGTGTATGGGCAGTATGGGCTGACTGCCTAGATCCTAATCTTCCAATGCTAGCTTTATTTGCTACTCGAGATATTGAGATTGGAGAAGAAATATGCTTTGACTATTTACAAAAATCATCTGACATTGATGATAATACTGATGATGGTTCTTCTCTCCTAATTAAATCGAGTTATAATGATGATATTAGTCTAAGTAATGTTTCAGAGATAGGGACTGCTTCTTCTCCAGCTTCTCCTTTAAAATCAAGGTTTGAAATTCAACAACAAAACATGGCAATGTTGCGAAACCGTACTGAATGCAAATGTGGTGCTATGAAATGCAGAAAATATTTGTTCTAGTTATAAACTTTATAATAGATTACATTGTGAAAATATAGTAACATACCTTTACAATCTCAAAAAATTGGAGGATATTTGTATATCTTCCTCAATATAACCTAACCTCTATAAAATGTTCTACAAATGGGCTTAAGGAGAGCCCTTATACTGTGGTGGTGTGGTGGTCATAAAACTTCCAACAAAATAAAAAACCAATGACTGAAAATAATTTAATTTTTTTTGTATTATTATTTGATATGATAGATATCAAATAAGGAAATATACAAATAGACTGTAAATTTGGTAAGGTTTTTACAAAATAAAATACTAATCATAATCAAAAACGCATACCTTGGACAAGCATGATGTATGCGGCTCAAGCTTTTTTTTTATTTTTTTTTATTGCTTAGATGGGTGGACGAGCTCACAGCCCACCTGATGTTAAGTGGTTACTGGAGCCCATAGACATCTACAACGTAGACGCGCCACCCACCTTGAGATACAAGTTCTAAAGTCTCAGTATAGTTACAACGGCTACCCCACCCTTCAAACCGAAGCTAGCTGCAAGTCTTATTAGCTAGATATGCTGAAAGTATTCATAGCTCACCTATGCGAGTATGTACGTGTAATATGATGTTTAGCAATTGTCTTAATTAACAGGTCATGGTTGGAAGTGATTCAAAGAAAGAATATAGTAAAGAGCTCCTTATTCGCGGGGTATATAATAATATATTCCGTAAATATGCCGCGAATACAAAAACCGTGAATATGGAATGGTAATGTGGCTCTTACCGTAGGACAGAACGTCTCATGTGGCCGCATTTAAAAATGTACAGAAATATGGTTGATTTACATACAACATACTTTAGGCATATTTGTAATAAGGTCTATTTTACTTTATTATCAGTCCATTTGGCGACGCATTTACAAAGGAAAGTCTGTTGGATATATTGGAATGATATATCTATGTTTATGTATCCATTAGATCCGCGAATAAAAAAATCTTTAAAAGCTAACATAGGAATTGGATAGTCTATTATGACGTAATAGATGAATGTATTAGTGCATACCAGACAAAATTTAAAATACACTCACAGAGAACATACTACAAGACTTAGCCAAAATGTATTAGTATCGAGAATCTGTCCGTCTTTTTGACTCATATCGATTTGGCCAATTAATCTATGTAACCAGGATAACAATGGACCAACAGACTAAAAAACCTAAATATGTTTAAATACCTTTAAATGTTAATTGTTAGTTATTCTGCTACTTTAAATAAACAAAACCAAACTGGTACCAATTTGTGCCTTTTAGTTTCTAGGAATGAAAACGACCACAAACTCATTTTGTTAAATCTTAAGTCTTACCTATTTAACGTTTTTTTAATATAAGTATTATGAAATATTACAATTATGTATATGTATTGTTGTGTATATTTTTAAGATAGACTAAATAATAAAAAATGGTTGCCTAAGTATTGTTTTATTTAAATCGATCTTGACAATATGAAATTAATACTATATTTATTTTGTTTCAATATGGTATTCTATAGAAATCATGAAAAATATTATTCACAGAAAAATTATATTCGTATTAACACATGTCTCGGTTTTTCCTTAGGTTATGCAAATGCAAAAATCTACCAATGCGACAATCCTAAATGTCCGCGGCCAACCAGCTTTATATCCGGCGGCTCATCTAAGGATGACAGCTTTCCGTGTCTTCGGCCTGCGTGTACGGGTCGCTTCCAACTAGTTCGCCACGTGAGCTTTGTAGACTGCCCTGGTCACGACATCCTTATGGCAACTATGCTTAACGGTGCTGCCGTGATGGACGCAGCATTACTACTCATTGCGGGTATTTAAATCAAATAATTTAAAATTAAATAACAAGATTTAAATAAAAAAATAATGAATTTTTAAAAACTAAGGTAAACTTTCAATTTTTTCTTTTTCAATGGAAACTAACCTGACTGTCAATGCACAATAATTGGCATTCTATTAGCATGCATCTTACTATTACAAGTATGTACTTTTGCATTTTAATATTGCATTGACTAAATATGGTTTTGTTACGATGACCGATAATTTAAATAAATTAATAATCGCGAAAAAGCCACACATGATTCAGAATATGGCTCCAATTGCTGTAACTTAAGATTTTCACATTTTCAGGCAACGAATCTTGCCCACAGCCCCAAACTAGTGAACACTTAGCAGCCATTGAGATAATGAAACTGAAGCATATCTTGATATTACAAAACAAGATCGATTTAGTTAAAGAGGGACAAGCTAAAGAACAGCATGAGCAAATTGTAAAATTCGTTCAAGGGACTGTGGCTGAAGGTGCACCTATTATACCCATATCGGCTCAACTCAAATATAATATTGAGGTTTGTTCAATCATACTAATAATATCTTCAATGAAAGTATTATAGATATTAGGTATATTAATTTAATAATTAAGAAGTACTACTGGTGGTAGGACCTCTTGTGAGTCCGAACGGGTAGGTACCACCGCCCCGTCTATTTCTGCCGTGAAGCAGTAATGCGTTTCGGTTTGTAGGGTGGGGTAGCCGTTGTGACAACACTGAGACCTTAGAACTATATCTTAAGGTGTGTGGCGCATTTACGTTGTAGATGTCTATGGGCTCCAGTAACCACTTAACACCAGGTGGGCTGTGAGCTCGTCCACACATCTAAGCAATAAAAAAAAAAAGAAAAAAAAAAAAAAAAATTCCTTGAGTGTAAGCGAAAAGTTACTGAACTGTCAAACAACATGAACTAAAAATATTTTTTATCTTAGCATTTTACTTCGTAGAATAAAATAAGTTCAGTTAAAACCAAATATGTACCTTATTTATTAGTTATTAATTTAAAATGTTTCAATGGCCTTCAAATAATTTTATTTCACCACCTGATTTATGGTCGAATTTTAGTTTTAGCGTGATTTGTGATATAATGTGTGATTTTTGTGTGATACATATGTCATAGCAGATAGTATTAGTTCTACGTAATCAAGAAGCGATGAGCCTTGTAAGCAGATACTCGTGTTCTGAGACCCCACCATTTCGCAAAAATCAGCGGCGCAGTGAGCGAGAGCTCTTCCCTTGGCATACCGATCCACCTTATTCGAGCTGATGGCGGAAGGAGGGCTTATCCAGACCCAACTTTAGCCCCGATGGGATGTGGTCATTTTCGTTGATTTGGTTTGGATAAACAGGAAATTCGGTACCGCCCACCACGCTAATGCACTTTAGTGCGTAGCAGAGTTCATACTTAAAAGCTACCGGCTGGTGGCATATCGCATTCCGACCCGGCACTCTGGCTCTGTCTGCTTAGTGCGAGTTTTTTAACGTTCTCGATCGCATAAAACTTAGCCCAATTTTGTATGCAGTTGGAACAGCGCCCCTAGCGGAAAACGTAGGCAATCGATCCCATTCCATACAAATATGAGCTAACTTTTACGCTATGGAGAACGATAAAAAACTCGCACTAAGCACACTGGTCCAGCGAGGGCACCACCTGGCTGGCCTAGCAGATTGCCAAAGATGATGGCCGACGTAGTGTCACTTTCGACGGCGTCAGTCAGGCATCCCCAAAGACGTTACATTGTTAATCATTACGTCCTACCTCTCTCGGGCAAGGCTTGGACGCTTTAGCGAACAGTGCAGGGGTGTCATTTAGTAGTTCGCTTAAAGCGCCGCTAGTCATCTACAGTGACCCACTCTTCGGTAAAGGTAGTCCCAAATACCACGCTCGCTCTTGTAGAAGAATTTGAAACTGGTCCAAAAATATACACGGATAATGCCTGTATGACAAGATTCTGTGAAGCCTACGTGGTCATTAAGCCACTGAGAATTCGAGTCCGAAGCTCGACGTGTGGTATGACGTGAATAAAATCGATATAGAATTATATCGTGTAATAAAAATCAGACTAGTGTTAGGCTCGGGTAGGTTCCACGTTTGATAAATAATAAATAAATCATCGTTCAGTCGTAATCAAACTATGACTACGCCTCTCTTTTATTTTCTAGGTGTTTACAGCAAGATAGGTCAACTGTGTAGTGTTACCAAGCTTCAGGGTTATTTTTTTTTTATTTTTTTTTTCCTACCTAAGCTGAGAGCCTTGAGAGGCTATTTCAGCGTAACCCTAACTTTTGTAGGTGAGCTCACGGGGCTCAAACCTGATGACGTTGCTAACACGAACCCTAGCAAGAGCCGTGCTTCGCAGAATCTACCACCGGATCGGAAACGCGACCCACTGAGAAGATCCGGCGAGAAACTCAGTGGGCTGCGTCTGAGAGTTAATTTACTCGTCGAGCCCTTCGTCGCAAGCAACGGGTTCGACGAGAACGGTGACCGGTGCTTGAAGTACCTAGAAGCACCGTTAGTGGATCGGGAGGATCCGAGATGACGTGTTTTGGGCGACGTCGACTGCTTTCCATTCTGTCCGCAGGATCGGGAATGTAGTTACCGGCGGCCACGATGAGAGGGTTCTCGTGTCGTGCCGCTTTATCGAAGTGGCGCATCGACGCCGACTGCAGATACTTACTGATGGACTCTAAGTCCAGGTCGTCATGGAGGTCGACGTTCCTGACGAACCACGGGGCTCCGACGGCTATCCTGCAAAAACGGGATTGAATAATTTGAAAGGATTTTAAGTGTATGCGGGCCGCGTGAGCGAACACTACACTTGCATAGGTCATGACGGGGCGTATGCAAGTTTTGTAGAGTGTCACCTTATTTCTAAGGGACATTTTACTTCGCCTACATATCATCGGGTAGAGACGTCCTAGAATGAAGGCGGCACGGTCGCGTACCGTCTTGATGTGGGGGCGGAATGTCATCCTACTGTCGAGGGTGACGCCTAAATATTTGACCTTCGGGGCCCACGGTATGGGCTGGTCGAACATCGTGATTGGGCGAACGGCGGGGGCGGGGTTATTGACGCGCCTAGTCGGGAGAGGGATGCTCAGCGTGGTGTTCGGAGGGCGACCCCTTTTGAAGAGCACCGCTGTGCTTTTCGTGGGGTTAATGTCGATGCGCCACTTCCGGAACCACTGTCCCATGGTGGTAGCTGCGGTCTGAAGTCGTCGATGAAGCAACGCCTTCTTCCTACACGAGTAGTAGATGGCGGTGTCATCGGCGAAGAGCGCCAGATGGGTCTCCGGAGACCGGGGTATATCGTTGATATACAAACTGAATAGTAACGGGGAGAGGGCGGAGCCTTGCGGGACTCCGGCTGTGACGTGACGGGGCCGGGAACGCGTTCCCTCGACTCGATATCGGAACGAACGGTTCGACAAGTAGTCTCGTATGATGAGCACGAGTCTGTCTGGCACTCCCATGTTATACAGTTTGTATATCAAACCGTTGTGCCAGACTTTGTCGAACGCCTTCGCTATATCGAAGAAGAGGGCTCCTGTCGGGATGGGTTTCCGCCTATTCAGCCCTAGTAAGATGTGCTCCGTGAGGCGGTGCACTTGATGTACGCACGAGTGTCTGGCGCGGAATCCAAACTGCTCGTCTGTAAGAATTTTGTTCGCGGATACGAAGTCCCAGAGGCGTTTACGAAGGAGCCGTTCGTATAGTTTGCCTATCGCCGGGAGGAGACTGATGGGGCGGTAACTCGCGGTTTCATTCTTCGGTTTACCCGGCTTGTGTATGCCGATAACGTCAGCTTCTTTCCACGCCGCGGGAAAGATGCAGTTCGTCATAGCAGCATTTAAGATGGTGGCCAACATCGTTATTAGTTGGGCTGGTAACAGTTTTAGCGCGCGATTGCGGATGCCGTCGGAGCCGGGAGCTTTCCGTGGTTGTAGGCTATCGATCGCCTCCTTAACCTCGGAAGTGGTAATGGGGGGTAACGCGTCCGAGGGCAGCAGGGAAGCTCTGCGCTCGACCTCCCTGTCGACTAACTCGGTGTGTTCGGGGTCCGCGTGTTGAGTGCTGGTGGTGCACTGCTCTTGCAGTGCATCGGCCAGCAACTCTGCCTTGTCATCGTCATCGTAAGCCGGTGGTTGGCCTGAGGGGCGTACGAGAGGCGGCATAGTGGCGATAGTTTCGGACTTGAGGGTCCTAGCTAGTCGCCAGTATGCTTGGTGAGTGGGCGCGAGTTCTTCTAAATAACTATCCCAGTTTTCGTTTCGGGCGTCGCTTAAGCGGGATTTGACCTCCCGCTGTAAGCGACGCATCCGAGTCCGGTTTGAATCCGTGGGATATCGATCGTAGGCCCGGATTGCCGCGTTTCTGACTCTTTCAGGGTTATCGCCAGGCCCGGGCTTTATATATAAATCATATCGAACTATTTGGAGCTATTTGGTTTAAGCGACATTTTTGCAGCATTACAGGAGAGTCATTTAAAGCTTAAAATTTGAATAAAATATAACAAAAAAAATGCTTCAGATGTTCGAATGGGGTAAAGATAACTGATGTTCAATTAAAAACTTAGAACCTTTGATACCAATACCAAATAAAACGCACCTTTAAATACAAAGATAAATGTCACTTAAAACAAATAGCCTTTCACCCCTCGATATACAGTATTTAATAATAGCATTGAATAAATATTTCAACTAACAATAAAAACATTTTTTTAAAGGTCCTCTGCGAGTATATAACAAAAAAGATTCCCGTACCCCTAAGGGATTTCACATCGCCTCCTCGTATGATTGTTATTCGTTCATTCGATGTAAATAAGCCTGGTTGCGAGGTTGACGATCTACGGGGTGGCGTGGCAGGAGGATCAATTCTTCAAGGAGTTCTAACTGTCGGTATGGAAATCGAAGTACGTATTGTCTGTCATGGTAAATAAATAATAGTAGTTAATATATTTTTCAACACAAACACTTATTTCACAGGTGCGGCCTGGTTTAGTCAGTAAGGATGCAGATGGTAAATTAACTTGCCGACCCATATTTTCACGCATCGTTTCGCTGTTTGCCGAGCAGAATGAGCTACAGTATGCCGTCCCTGGTGGTCTTATTGGCGTAGGAACGAAGATCGAACCAACGCTGTGTCGTGCTGATAGACTTGTAGGACAAGTATGTTTATTTTAAGCATCTTTCAGCTATAAAAATTACTTCCAAGATTGATATTTATAAGTTTAATTACTGACGATGGCACTGATAGGTTCTACCGTCCTGTCCAGTTCTACCAATAATCAGTTATCAATTAAAGTTTGAAGGATGGGACATTGGACAACTCCCTAGGCGGGTGGCGGCATTCACATTTGAGGTTTTGGCACCGTTAACCATTTAATATCAGAGATGCGGCGTTACTCATCAAATTCAAAAAATAATACCTATTCTATGGATATTTTTACAATAGGCACTAACCTATTTCTGTTAATTTCGCAGGTATTAGGAGCAGTTGGATGTTTACCGGGAATTTTTGTCAAACTCGAAGTATCTTATTATCTTTTGAAACGTTTGCTTGGCGTGCGCACTGAAGGAGATAAAAAGGCTGCCAAAGTCCAAAAATTAGTCAAAAATGAGGTAATTAACAGTGGTACATTATTTAGAAACTACAGTAATGTCTTAGCACTATTTGGGCCGTTAGGTTGATCACACATCTATTGTAATTAAAGTTGCACATTAAATATTTTTTAGGTCCTCCTCGTAAATATTGGATCGTTAAGTACTGGCGGCCGAGTAATCGCCACAAAAGTTGATTTGGCTAAAATCGCCCTTACGAACCCTGTTTGCACGGAAATTGGAGAAAAAGTAGCATTGAGTAGAAGAGTAGAAAATCACTGGCGGTTAGTATCAATGCATAACTGGTATACCACATGTGCTTTGAAACAAGTTTTGTCAACATATTATTACTTATTTTCAGGTTAATTGGTTGGGGACAAATTCAAGGAGGTACAACTATAGAACCAGCCAACAACTAATTTTATGTTTTTTTTACATTTAATAATGTAAACTATGTTCTATGTATTTAATAAAATATTAACATAATATCAATATGCATTTATGTTACCTACCTTACAATTACTAATAAACAACACATGATATTTTGAACTATTAACAGAGACTACAGATATAGATATATAAACAGAGAAATAGAGTAAATAATTTATTGATTTTATTCATTTACATTATTGACTTTAGGCCATGTATATAAACGTGTTAATATCTTCGTCGTCGCGACGCATATATTTATGTTCAATAAGCCATTCTAATTGCTCTTTTATCATTTTCTTCGATGGTAGAAACATATTTTTTAGAATCTCTACCAGCTCGCTCTGCAAGGAATAAAAATAATAAAAATTTGTAACTTATTTATAAAGAGCGGACGGTTAGCGTGTTATGGACATATTGTGATGCGTAGAGATGCACGTAAATAGGAGATGTATGGAAATTGTGGTATCCTGCAGGGGAAAAAAAGGTCGACCGAAGAAGACATGGATGGAGTGTGAATGACGATATGAGAGAAAGAGGAGTGAGTGTTGAGATGACGGCTGATAGAGGAGAATACAAACATTGGCAGTGCCGATCCCACTTAGTGGTATAAGGTGGAGACAAGGAGAATGTATTTATTAGTGAACAATATAAGAAAAATCTTCAATTGGTGATCTTCGTCACTTCGTCAGCCCTTATCGTCTGAATTTCTGCTGCTTAGAATAAGATGTAATATTTGAATATGTGAACCCATCACACCTTTTCAATTATTTAAATACCATATAACATTTATTGGAGAATTAAGAATCATGAAAGCAATTACGAAAACATTGTCAAAACTTATTTATTTAAGCAAAGGCTTTCTTCCAAACCAATTTATTATACCTAAGTATGTTCAAATTTTTCTTTTGTTAAGTCATGGCAAAATTATAATCAATCATCATTTGTGCAGCATGAACTAGCTCAGTATCTACTTGGTATCAAGTGTGGTTACTGAAATATAAAAACACTACTACCCCATGTGGTAGAAGACCACTTTGCACTATTATGAGTGTAACCTGTAAGGAATACAATACTTACTGATGCAATCTCCTAACACAAAAAGCTTACCTTAAAAACTTACCTTAAGTATTTATATACATATTTGTTTTTAGTGGAAAGCATTCATGTACACATGTTTGGAACAGATATTCAAAGTTAACACAGTAAAAGCTCCTTATTCGCGCTTTCACTATTCGCTGATTAAAAAAATGCGACCTAATGCCTACGTTCCCTAAAGATTTCTTGATTCACGAATCTCTATCTCAAAATCTAATCAGTACATACACATTGATATAAAAGATTCCAAGGTAGGAGGTCGAACCGAACATCCTTTGTAAACGCGCTTTTCCATATTCGCAGCATATTTAGGGAAAATATAGCCTGCAAATAGAGCTTTTACTGTACATCGAAACAAAAATATATAAGTTCCATACCTGAAGTGCTGTGTTTGTAATGCGTTTCCTCATCTTTAGTATTTTTATGATTGCCTCTTGAGTCCTCAATATTCTTAGCTGCACAATGGAATGATTATCTTCTATTTGAGATCTCTCTGTACTCAACTGAAGTCTTCCAATCAAATTTATTTTACCCCTACGTTGTGGTTTTCCATTCTTAATAAGCGCAAATTCCTGATTTACCCAAAATATTGTATTCTGGACAAAGTCTTTAGGATTTTGAATCAATGGATCATAGCACAACAATTGCCTTTTTAATTTTGGGAAAGCCACAAGAGACCATAAAGTCCTTCTCAGTTCAGGGTCTGGAAGTTCTGTTGCTAATCTCAAATTTTCATAACTTATTTTTTCCATAGGTCTTTGATTCCATGCAAATAGCACTGCCATTTGAAAAGTTGTAACATCCAAGTCAAAACGACCTACTGAATTAGCAAATGTTATAGTGCCATTGCTCATGTGATGATACCACTGCAATTTTCTACCTGAATGCTTTTTTTTATAAAACTCTTCAACTTCAGGAATATAGTCTTCTAATTCTAGTGGCAGACTTACTGTTACTCTTTCAGATCCACGGGCCCAAGCTCCAGCATTGAGTATTTTAATATTGATGGCATCATGACGAGTTGTGTCTGCCCTAAATTGTGTATTCAGATCCTCACTTACTTTTACATCTTGAAACATTCGTGCTAATTTATTTACATAGTCTGCAGGCATACCTACTTCACGTAACCACTCTACCATATCCTCTTCTTTTTCAGAGTCCGCACTTGAGTCTAATATCAATCTTCTTGTTAAATGAACCTTATGATACCTCATAAATACATCTTTATTTTCAATATATTTCAAAACTAACAAAACGTCTCTTAATCTTATTTCTATCTGTTCACTAGTTAATCTTTTACTTAGCGGTGTTTTTCGTAATAACATATCACAATAGTTAGCGAGAAGTTCAGGGCACTTGCTTTCAGGAGCTGTACCTTTACTACCACGGGCAAGAGTTGATGAAGGCAACTCAAGTTTAAAAACAGTTGTATCATTTACCACGCATTTATAGGCCTTGTCCCTGGCAGTTAAAAACCTTGGATCATCCAAGAAGGCATCTTTAACTAACATACTAAATTTTCTGAATAAATCCAACAAACGCTCTACATACTTTTCAGAGTCTGTTGTTATGATATCTGCTGATGCAACCATGTCAGCTAAGCCTGCAGATACTATATGGGCTTCTAAATCTCTCAATATCGGCACGACTCCTTCTGGGACCCTATCCAATAAACGAAACATAAGTTGCAACTTTTCTGTCTCACCAGCTTTAATCAATGTAGCACTTTCAGCTAAAAGTGTTGGAAGATGCTCTCCAATAAGTACTCTTTCACAACATTGAGTTAATGCAGCTACACTACCACTTCCTGGCTCCAAATATCGGTGAGCACGAGCCTCTTCTTCTTTGAGACGTTGATCAGCATACTTCATATATGACTGAACTCCATTGGCAAGCAAATGTTCACTTGCTTTCAATTTATAAAATTCTTCTGTGGCTTGCATATATGCAGCTTCAAAATTCTCTCTGTAGATTTGCAATTTGTCTATGGTGTTTGAGCACAAATTAACTGTCAAAAGAAAAAACATTTTATATAATTTAAAAAGTGTAACCCTCCATATTACCCCTTTTTAATAAAACAGTGTTTATCAATATCATATAAATAGTATATATGAATAGTATTTATCAACTTTGTATGGTTCAAGTACTCAAGTATTATTATAATATGCTAATAACGTACTATTTTAAACTTTATTCTCAACATGAAAATACAGTGTTAGGTAGTAAAATAGCCACTGTAATACTGATAAAATAAAAAATAATATTAATTAAATAGACTGCAATTTATAACTAACAGTAAACTAACTGTACTTTAATGTTAGCAACAAGAATGTTAGTTAAAGCTTTAAAGCTGTCTGCTTTAAAGCGACCTGATCAAATAAAAAGTCAATTTCATGGCTGCCACTCATTGTAATAAAATGTGCCAAATAGTGAATAAAATCGAAGGGAATATAGGAAAAGTGATCATGTGGTCGACACATTGACTAAAGAATTTATTATTCATGTTGTGTGATGATGATTGCATATCGGATACCAAATATGCAGATGATTTCGATCATTACACATATTATGATGATGAAGATGATGTTCCTGCCGCTAGTACTAGCAATTTTGGAGAAAGTGATGTAATGGATGGCATGTAATTTATGATGGAATTAAGTGCTTAACAAAATATTTTTTATGTATGATTAAAAAAAACATCAGCATATACTTACCTAAAATCTCTATTTATTCCTTCTAATGTAATTCATCTATATATATATATATATATATATATATATAAAACATATTTAATTGATAGCCTTTTGGTAGTCATACTATTAACATGAGCGAAACCACAGGTAAAAGTATTATAAAATTACTAATATATTTTTCGTAAGTAATTTAAAATTTATATTAAATACATGAGTGAACCATATATTTTAATCCCATGTGTACGATGCGCAGACGGCTCCTCACACTATTGTCAAGGGCTCAAGACATGTGCCGATTGCTATACCATGCTTTTGACACATGACATACATATAAAAATAAATGTACGATATTTAGTTTCTAATGAAAATATGCAGTCAAACTAAGGAAATATTATTAATATCATATGTTTTACTCTTATTTAATACAGAGTGCTCAATTTACTTAAATCTAGAATTGGAATTGACTTAAACATCATTTAAGAAAAAATATACATGTATTAATGCTGATTCAATCTTTTTTATTTATAATAGTATTGTGGTATTAACTAAAATCATTCAAATCTTGGTTTCAGTAATGCTTTATGAGTTTTATTCTTTCATTATTCCTCAGTATCAAAAGATATGAAAAGTCAGTCTTAACTTTTTGATTTTTTTAAAAGTTTCAATAATTTGTTCAAAGTGAGATAACTAAGCTTTTGCTAAATCTGTGATTATAGAGGTATAGTCATTGACAAAAGATCTTTAATAACTTTCAAACTTAAAATTGAATTGAATTATGGTCAATTTTTGCCAGTGACCACTAATAATAGTCAATAGTAAATTTATGAACTACCTACTTTTATCCTTTACTTAGATGTAATAAATATAGTTTACTAACCATATGACTCTCTTACTCCTATTACAAGCTGAGAATCAAATGATTCACCATTTCTTTCAGCTTGTACAAGTTTCATTGCAGAGTCCTGTAATCTCTCCTTGATATCCACAAAGATACTTTGATTCCATGAATCCAACATTAGTTTCCGTACTAAACTATCTTCAATGTTGTTATTGTTATTCTTTTTCTGTGAACTGGATGTGTTAGAACTAGTGACTTTACTTATACTATTAATAGAATTTTCTAACTGTCTAAAGGGTGTAGGCAGATAATTGCATTGGGTAAAAAATTTTCCCCACTCCGCAATATAGGCTTTCAAGAGTGCTTGATCTTCCCGTTGAGCTAAAACGCGAACTTGGGCTTGTTTTATGTACATTGTAATATCTTGTTGAAGCGAGTCTCTTAATTTGTACGGTCCTCTCTCATCCCACAAACATACTGAATGTACTGCACCAAAAAGATCTTGCCATTCGGTTTGTGTAACAGTCTCTTGCTTTAATAGCTTTAAAACTATAGGACGCATTGATGGCCATTTGTCCTCAAAAGTGATCTGTCCTTTTTCCTGAAAATCATGTGAACGGTAAATTANAATATCTTGTTGAAGCGAGTCTCTTAATTTGTACGGTCCTCTCTCATCCCACAAACATACTGAATGTACTGCACCAAAAAGATCTTGCCATTCGGTTTGTGTAACAGTCTCTTGCTTTAATAGCTTTAAAACTATAGGACGCATTGATGGCCATTTGTCCTCAAAAGTGATCTGTCCTTTTTCCTGAAAATCATGTGAACGGTAAATTATTTGTTTGTAATATACAGTATTTAATTTTAAACTAATTGTGGGCTTACCTTAAGCATGATTTCAATTTTAAACTTTCGGTTTTTGTACGTTTTCTCCAACCATAGCAATCTAACAATTTTACCTTTCAAAATGTTGACAGCTAACTTTTTTGTTGGACTTTTCTAATTAAAGATCGAAAGGGAACATATGTCGTAGAGACCAATTATAAATAAAAATTCGTACTTGCCAAATTTATCCAGTGACATAGCACTAAATACAATCCTTGGGCCCACGGTCCGTTCCCAACATCTGTAGACTATCTAGTCCCAGATCGCTCCCTAAGCGCGGGGACCTCGTAAGAGGTTCAGACCCCGGCCCAGAAAAAAAGATTAGGAAATATTTTATTTACTCTTTCAAGTGAAGCATTTCATATAGTGCTATCATGTAAACCTTTACTTAGGGTTTGCGAGTAGCTAATGGCCTGCGAGAAATTGCTCTAGCCCTAGCAAGAGCAATACCTCGCAGGGCTTAACGATAGGCAGCAGGTTGGCTCTACCCCTAGCATTACTAATGCCCATAGGCGACGGTAATCACTTACCATCAGGTGGGCCATGTGCTCGTCTGCTTACGAAGGTAACAAAAAAAAAAAAGAATCGCCACTGAATCAGAATCGCGACCCATTTTTTAATTAATACCCCATAAGTGTACTTACCGGTTTTTTTTGCTACCTATTCTATTAACCTCGAGATATTATACCAGATTTACAGAATGAGTAGGTGAGCTCACAGGGTTCTAGCCTGATGTCGTTGCTAACACTAGCCCTAGCAAGAGCAGTGCTTCGTATAATCTACCACCGGATCGGAAACGCGACGTGCTTTTAGGTACCTCAAGCACCGGTCATCGTTCTTGTCGAACCCGTCGCTTGTGACGAAGGGCTCGGCGAGTAAATTAACCAACAGACACAGCCCACTGAGTTTCTCGCCGGATCTTCTCAGTGAGTCGCGTTTCCGATCCGGTGGTAGATTACCGTAGATTCTGCAAAACACGGCTCTGCTAGGGTTCGTGTTAGCAACGTCGTCAGGTTTGAGCCCCGTGACCTCACCTACTAGTTAACACTACGCTGAAATAACCTCTCAAGGCTATCAGCTTAGGTAGAAAAAAAAAGGAATGTGCACAGTGTGGGAAAATGAAACAAAGCCGCTGGACGTAACTTCTCGGAATCCTCCAAAAAGTCCACTGAAAAAATCTCAGTAAATGACCACCATTTTCCTGAGATTATATTATTATTTCATCCCATATATTATGATCTCATCACATTTCATGGTACGATACCTTTGCCTTTCCATTTGAAAAAATAAAACTACTACTACTATCTATATTCTGGGACTTTTTGGCGGGAACGCGAGGAGTGAAGTTGTGTGATTTGTTTTATTTTGTGTTTCTTCAGATTTAAATGTGTAATAACGGTGGTTTATTAACTGTTTAATATCTGTGACAGTGCACAAATGTGGGAAAATGAAACAAAGCCGCTGGACGTAACTTCTCGGGATCCTCCAAAAAGTCCACTGAAAATATCTCAGTAAATGACCACCATTTTACTGAGATTATATTTCATCCCATATCATCTCATCTCATTTCATTTAATTTCATCCCATATCATCTCATCTCATTTCATTTAATTTCATCCCAGTTGATTGATGTCTCAAATTAATCATCTTCATTTCATTTCACTTCATATTATCATTTTGCATAAAAGTATCCCATATAATATCATTTCATCTCATTTCAATTCATATCATGTCATGTTTCATATTATTAATCAACTTCATTTCATTTCATAGTATCATAATTCATAAAATAAAAATATATATAAATGATTAGGCTGTATGGTACGACACCTTTGCCTTTCCATTTGGATAAATAAAACTACTACTATTTTTTTTTAAGAGATTTTATGACCTGGTAACTAAGACCTTTAAGTCATGTCTTATTTTACTTTATATTCTTAATTTTATGAAAAATGATAATATGGAGTGAAATGAAATGAAGATGATTAATTTGAAACATTAATCAACTGGGATGAAATTTAATGAAATGAGATGATATGGGATGAAATATAATCGCAGTAAAATGGTGGTCATTTACTGAGATTTTTTCAGTGGACTTTTTGGAGGAACCCGAGAAGTTACGTCCAGCAGCTTTGTTTCATTTTCCCACATTTGTGCACTTTCACAGATATTAAACAGTTAATAAACCACCGTTATTACACATTTAAACCTGAAGAAACACTAAATAGACAAAATAAAACAAATCACACAACTTCACTCCTCGCGTTCCCGCCAAAAAGTCCAAACTACTACTACTTTAATCAGTACCATAGATTATGCACATAATATTTAGATCATAGATTTAATTAAATTAGACACATAAAATTAATATATTTTTCAGTACCATACCCTTCCCATAAAAAAGGAGGGGATTAGTTATCGTCGGAAAAATGAATAATTTCGGAGAAATTATTGAACCATCAAGCCGAACTACTTGGGAAGATTGGGATGAAAATAACAGTTCTACAGATACGCAAACCAAGTAAGCCTATGTGATGCATATTCCACTAAAGTTGTATTGTCATGATTTACATTTATTGTCATCAAGTAAATGTAACCAATTTATGTTAGAGCATTAAAATCCCAGTTTAATTTTTGTCATAGCGCCGCTATTCTTAGGAATATCCCTGCAACCTTCCACGAGTATTGGGATCCTTGTGAGTACTGGGAATCGAGAATATAGAGCGAAGAGTTATTTCACGCCTAGATAAAGACTTGCTTTACAATGCACAATTTCAGCCTTCGGCATAGAGTACAGCTCCTACCTCTGGGTTGGGACTCCCAAACATCAGCTACTTCTATTTTAATCCATAGAGAAAAGGGTCTCTCAGATTGTTGACATTCCAATTTTCAAATCTGTTCAGAATCTTTTCATTTTGTGTTTTGTACCATCTTTGTTTTTCTGAGTTCCCATAATCTGGTTTTTACCATTGCACAGCCTGAAATAGAGTTCATCTATACTACCTAGAACCACTGCATTTATCCACATCCTGAGATCTTTGCTTTTACTAACCATAAGGCTTTGTAATTTATTTCCCTCCTTTGGTGTTTCCTGAGGCACTGCTGACAACTATGAACATTGGTAACCACTCACCGCTTTGTAAACAAGGGCAAAAAACAAAAAATCTGGCCATGACTTTTTTGGAGTTATGTTACCATTTGTGGTATTGCCTAGATGCTGAACCAGGGTTTAACCAACATGATGATGGCTAACGAATGTAAAAAAGAATCCAATTTTAAACACTTCAAGTCACAGTGCCCAAATTCAAAAACCCTTCATTTCTACCTCTAAGGCATTTTTTAAATTCTTTTTTATTGCTTAGATGGGTGGACGATCTCATGGCCCATCTGTTGTTAAATGGTTACCGGAGCCCATAAACATCTACAACTGGAAGTCCTGGCAGGAGCAGCACTCCAGGTTTGGCTGGACTTTTGCATTGTAAAGCAAAAGTCTTTATCCAGGGTTGAAGTAACCCTTTTGTAAAGCAAAAGACTTTATCCAGGCTTGAAGTAAGCCTTTGCTCTGTTGAGGACTTCCAGCTTTTTGAACACCAACTTGGCTTTGTCCTCCAATTGAATACTCTTGGCTCTCCTTGGCTTTCTTGTCAAAGAGAAAATTCAATGCATAAAACTAAATCTTATTTGCCAGTGAATATAGTCGAATTTTGATTCTCAATTTATTCATTATTTATGTTTCAGTTTACAATTTCAAAAACACATTGAAATTCCAAATGATATTGAAATATTTATTTTACTGGAAGGAAAGTATTTAGCCCATTCAATAAAACAGAATGTATGCAATCTGGAACTCATAAACTCAGTACCTGAAATCAGCCTAAAGATTTATAAAATGCACTCCCTCGAAAGTTATGTATGCATTATTTACGATTATGACATAATTTGTAGTAGTGAAATAATTCATTTACTAGAAAAATACATAACAAACAGCAAAGAAGTTATTTCGATGATTACCAAACCTTTAGTTGAATATGCTACCTCAGAAGTCTGTCATGAAGAATGTGTAATTAGAAGATTATCCACTAAAAATTGTAAGAATTCATCATTAAGTAAATATCCATGCTTGGAACAACCAAATATAATATCTGGAATTTCTGCAGGAGGTAATCCTATTTTTTTTATGTAAAACATTTTATGATTATTAGGGAAACTATAAAGTAAAAATTTGGTTGATATTTTCAATTCTTTCAGTGGTATGCTTAAGAGAACACCTGGACTTGTCAGCTTTGGCACTAGTGTTTTATACTGAATACCCTGAAGAACATGAACAAAACGAAATACACAAGATACTGGAAAATTTCCATTTCAAATTTAATCCAAAACCAAATGGCATATTGAATTCAAATTTATACATTTGAAATTTTAAAAAAGGTCGCTGAAAAATTATACTATTTTTCTTTAAATTAAAAATGAACGTCAATTTGTGAAAACAATATTTATTTCAAATTATTATAAAGTAACATAATATGTAATATGATTTAATTATACATGTCATACTAAAGAATTATACATATATTTGAAACAGTAACAGAAATTTCTATATTTCATAAAATAAACACAGCCCCTTCAAACTTATTACTTACACAAGCTTGGATTTTGTATAATAACAGGACATAAATTTGTCGTTTTTTTAAATAGCTGGTGAATGAACATGTTTCTTAAATAATTACAAAGGTGCTTGTATTTTTTATTCTTTTCTTAAAGACAATTCCTTTTTATAATTTCATTACAGAATACACTTTTATAATACTATACTATTTTTATTCTTTTTTTTCTTTTTTGCTGTACATACATCCATCCATGGGCTTCAATTGCTCTGTTAGGCAATATAACTATGACCCAGGCTGTGTTTCATTTACCATAATTGTCATACATTAATTTAATACACTGGATTGGTAATATAAAATTGAATCGAAAAACTTTTTTTTATCACAATAGTATATCAATAAATATATTTTATACATTCTAAATATCTACATAACATTATTGTTTTACAGTTAAAATTATTTATGATAATGTAGATCCTAAAGACAAACTTTTTAAAGTCAACCTACAATCAACATACAGATTTTTTAAACTATATTGCTGTTAACTTTGATGTTATGAATTCCTAATATTATTATGTATGTGCATAATACCAATTAGTACTGAGCAATAAAACTACGCAATTTATTATACAATTCAATATCAGTGTTTCCACAATTACTAAGAAAACGATTAAATTATTGAATAAACCAATAAAACCAAAAAATATTTATATTATAAAAAATAACCCATGAAATTATAGAAGATCACAAGTATTCAAAAACAGAAAATATAATGATAATAGCAGGAGATATTGACGTCAATATTATACAATAACAAAAAAACAGAACATTATATATTCTTTTATAAAATTAAAACATTAAATATTTCACAGATCCTTTCTCTTATTTCTAGACTAAATTACTGCTTGTTCTAATTCGAAAGTGGGCAAGATAAGAACTGATCCAACATTTAATTCTATTATAATCAAAGACTAGAATTTAACACTTTTTTAATGTTTTGAAGAACCGTTTATTATTATTATTATTTTTATGAATGACGTATTACTGGTCGCCCGTAGGCCTTTCCAGATTCAGCAGGACAGGTGGGCGAGCAAAGGCTCAGTCAGGAGGGATTATTTTAAATTAGCAGTATACTCACTATTATTTATAAAGATAAAAAATGCACACTACAGTATATATGCATTACCTATTTAAGACTAATTATGTAAAATTTGAAGAGAACAGATTTCGACGAACTGCTTTACCGAAATCAAGATAAAATATTTGTGAAGAAGTGGAACTACATATCTTCATGTAATAAAGGAGTGAAAATAATGGAGTGTGCTAAGGTACGCTTTACGATTAAAGCTGCGTATCGATTAAGCGCGCCAAGAGATCGAACATTGGTGCGCGCTCCAGCCCCGCGAAATGGATACCATTTTGGAACGCGCGCCAATGTGTTCGTTGGAGCGCCCGAACGCGGAGCGGTCCGTTCCGTCGGCTGTCGGTTTTTTACCACGCATCAGTCGCGGCGCGCGCGCCTATTGCGACGAACACGTATTTTTTTGTGTTTGTGCGCTCCCATTATGGATAACCAAAGTAGCCGTAAGTTAATACAACTGTGTGGTACAAAAGAACTGCTGTGGAATAGCAAAAGTTCTTCATATCACAACAAATCGCTGAGAGAAGACGCTTGTAGAGAAGTCAGTAGTGAAATGGGAGTCCCTGTGCCGGAGTTAAAGAAAAAAATGACTGTGCTCCTATCATCATACAGAAGAGAAAAATGGAGAATATCTAAAAGTCAAATCACTGGCTCTGGTCACTCCATACTGCATTCTTTTTCGGTACAGCTCTTTCATCCATCAACGCATTTTTCGTTTCTCCTTTATCTTCTTTATAATACTGTGAATAATTACAAAAGCTGCTGCTGCTCCTACACGACTGGCTTCATGATGAAGGGTCAAACACTGGAACGGTTGCCACGCGCGCCAGGCGCGCTTAGTTGATATACCTCAAAAGTTTGGCACGCGTTCCGCGGAACGCACTCTCAGCGCGGTTATTCATGGCACGCGCGCCAGGAGCGCGTAGTCGATACGCGGCTTTAACTTGGCCGCGGTGTATCGCGTTCCGACCCGGCAGGCTTGGTCTGACCTAACGGAATCTCGGAACACCAAGGACATCGCCCGATCAGCATGGTAGAGCCGTCGACTATGGCCCCGACGATCCGTCGGTCGGGCATCTTCGGGATGGCGCCGCGAGTCTGGTTATAGTGTTGATTGCAGGAACCCCTCTACTCCGACCGGGTTCTGACCCCGGACGGAGATCTGACGTCGGGTTTAAGAGTGCAGGGGAGTCGTTTAGTGCGGTAGGGCTCTAAAACTCCTTAGGTAGGCCCGCGGTCTGCTCCCAACATCTGCAGACCGTCAAGCCCCACATACCCCGCACGCTACCTAGGCGCGGCTCGGCTAGGCTCGAAGGAGGTTCGTCTCTTGGCCCGGAAAAAAAGCGCTTTACGATATTCTGGTTTGAAGTTTCTAGATTACTTATTTTAAAATAAGTCATGAAAGATTGTAATATACATTTCTGGAGTCGTAACCATAGGCCTTGTGAACTGTGTTAAATAACATTTTCTAATTAATATAACCTAACTTATACTTACAAAAAGCTCTATAGTCGTTTTTGAGAATGCAATTCTTTCCATGGGAAGCTGCTCAAGGTTGAGCGATATTCAACATTACTACTGAAGCCCATAGATATACCTGGTTGGGAATGGGGGAAACTCTTTCTCGAACGACATCCCGATATTAAGCGGAAAGTAGCCCATGCGATAAGTCGTAAGCGCTCTCAAGTTACATAGGACATGGTTCAGAATTATTTTGATTATTTCCATGAAGAACTCTAGGATGTGCCACCATCTAACATCTTGAACTTTGATGAAACTGGATTCCATGACAACCCCGAAAAACAGACCCTTCTTTTGAGAAGATCTTGCAAGAATCCAAATTATACTGAATTCAACTAAGCCTGCTATACGATGTTTTGCTGTAATGCCACTGGAGAATTTGTGCCTTTATACATTATCTTTAAAGCTAAACAAAAGTGGACCAGTTGGATCCAGGGAAATCCTGCTGGAACATGTATGGCAGTTACTAAATCAGGCTGGATAGATGCTGCAACATTTGATGACTAGTTCGAAAACAACTACTGCCAGTTCTTCAACAAAAGGAAGGAGAGAAAGTACTCCTTGGTGACAATTTGAGCTCCCACATAACTCCCAAGAAATTACGACTGTGTCATGAAAATAATATCGAATTTGTTTGCCTCATACCCAACTACACTCATCTTCTGCAACCTCTCGACGTGTCATACTTCAGCTCTCTAAAATCCAACGGGCGGAAGGTATTGGCAAATTGAAGAAAAACGAGACGTGGTAAAGTTGCCAATGTTTTACCAAAAGAGGTTTTCTCTTAGTTGCTTACCGAAACTTTAAAAGCAGGAAACGACACCGTTGCAAATAATGCTATTGCTGGTTTTAAAGAATACGGTATACATCAATTTAACCAGCCGTGGTTATGGAGAGAGGGACTATTTCAAACCTATTGAAGAAGTCCGCCAAGCAGTTGGAGAAAGTTTTAAACAATATATCAATGAAATTAGGGAAGCTGATTTGCAACCCAAACTAAATTAAAAAATCAGTTGCCTGTTGTTGCTGGCAAGTTTTTCTATGGAGGCTGTGGAGAAATATTATCAATGGAAATGATTGGAAAACCCAAGGCCAATAAGCGAACATCGAATTATGGTGCGGATAGTATTCCTGGGCCTGTCAAGAAGAGAGGGCGACCGGTTGAGAGCACAAAATAAAGCTGTTAAGAAAGTAGTTACATCTATCGTGGATCACCCAACATCACCTTCTTCCACTGTACTTCGCCCTTCTTCCCCAATTCCTACAGCTGGTCCTTCAGGGATGTGTATGGCGACGTCAAAAGATGTCAATCATGACGACACTATATTCGAATTTCCTGATCTATCCTCCGATAGTGTTTTGATGGATCCCATACCAATATCACCATCGTTATGGAATGCTGGCGTCATTCAATATCAACAGATAAATTCTTCATCACCAATTGAAGTCGTTGAAATATATAGTTGCAATATAGAAAATATTGAAGGAAATTATGAAAACCTTAACGGAATCTTAGAAAGGGTGGACTTAAATGGGAAAAAATATAGAAATATAGGATCTGCGTCTACTGATAAGGACGCTAGTAAAGTTAATTTGGGAAAAGGAAACAGAAAACAGGATTATTATGTCGTAAAATATGAAGACATTTTATTTCCGAAGCGTATCATTTGCAAGAAAGGAAATACTGCAAAAATATCCGTCATGAAAAGTCACAAGATGGCTGGAAGTGGCCTCTAAAGCGGGACCTCATCACTTGCCACCTGAAGAACATAGTCAGCTTCCTAGATGACCAGAAAATTACCAAACTAAAGGACTATTACTTGGTAGATGATCCGCTACTTTTCATGGAATGGAGCGACTAAACTCATATATTTTTTATTTACCTGGCAACTCAAAAATAAAGATGATTGAGCGATTTGATTAACGTTATTGGTACCATTGGGATTAGATTACTAACATGTGTTTATTGTGAAAATGTGAAGCATATGTTAGATTTAGACTTCATTCGTCGAAAAACTTTACAATTTCTCCTGTAGATTTAGCTATAGCCAAACCTATCTATAAACACTATCCAAGCAACTTTAGCCCTTAACATTTTGACCAATATTTCTTTATTTTTGTTCTCTTATAAAATTAAGTGTATTTATCTACAAAGCAGCTTTGGATGCCAACAAAAACAAATAAAACATCAAAATCCCTAATTTCGATTTTATAAGCAAAAAAAATCAATTATGGGTCAAAGTTACCCAGTAGCCATTTCATTTCTTGAAATGGCTACTGGGTAACTTTGACCTGATAAAGGCACACTTTTTATTATGTTATGTGTGCTTTCTACTCTATTGTATAAAATACTACTTAAATACCCCTGTCAACAGTTATTCGTTTTGATAAAATGTGGTGGTATTTCTCCCAATACTCAATATGTTAAATTACTTTGTAATTTTTGTAAACTATTCATAATTTTAAATTTCTTTTTAAGCAGTTGTCTGTCTTAAATGCAAAGCCCAGCCAATTCCTTCGTATAATACATACAAAAAATACATAATTATAAATGCCTTTTACGGCCTTTTTTCAAGTATTTTTATAAACATTTACATTATGTTTCTTGTTTGATTTGATCATTACCCTAAAGCCACCGTACATGTTGGCCTCGCTTTGGCGAACACAAACGTCGGAAAATTGATCAAGACTACTGAAATTTGTTATTTTGAAGAAGAAAAAAAACGTTCTTCTTATGTATAATAGTTCTTTTCGAGATTGCTTGGGAGACACCACTATAAGCGATAAGGCCTATTGTAATAACTTTTAACTGTTAAAAAAATGATTTATTGCCTATTTCTTACTTTCGATGCTTAAAAAAAAGGTATCGACTTATCTTCAGTAAAAGCGCTTTATTCGCGGGGTAAGTGTTCCGAAAATATGCCGCGATTACAGAAATGGTGAATATGGAAAAGCGCATTTACAAGGGATATTTGATTGGATATCGACATGGTCCCGACGGCGGAGACGAGAATGGCGGGCGATCGAACATTATGGCATAAGAAAGAGGAGGCCTATGCTCAGCAGTGGGTATCATAGGGCTGATAGTTGACGAGCATAGAGCTATCCAAAATCTCAAGAGAAATCTTTTACAATTTGGGGAAGCCTTGTGAATTATAGGCACTAAGCAACCTTTCAAACGATCCAAAGTGGTGGCAAAGTTAAACGTATATATGTTACGGTAAAAGTAGATATTGCGGAAAATTTACACATTTTCCGGTAAATGTGCACATTTGCCTCCTCGTTTGGGTAATGTGCATTCAACTAACATTTACCATTTCAAAGTAGGGAAATGTACATTGAATTCACAATGACCATTTCGTTTTGGTAAATGTGAGCATGGCATACAAAATACGAAATCGCAAGTGCTAGTAATGTTCGCTCCACTACAACCTAACTTAACCTAACCTACGATTATATTATATATAATATGCAAAGAAAAGTATGTTTTGTTTGTTATTTACATTTTTAATTAAAATATTTTTCGTTATTAAAGCCTTTTGTATTATGTTTATTTAAATAAATATTTTTTTACTGCAAAAACATTAATTTATTTGTATTCCAACTTTTCTTAAATCATGAAGGTAAGAGTATACATTTACCAAAACGTGAAGGCAAGAGTACACATTTGCCGGGAAACGTACATAATATACATTATATTCAGATCACATATACCTAACTTTTTGGCAAATGTGCACATTTACCGGAAAAAGTGTACATTTGCCGTAACATATATATAGGGGAAGACGACCAACCTTGGTGAGCTCTGGCCAACATGTATTGTTGATATAAAATTATGTACAAACGAATGCTTACATTTAGTAATATTTTTAAACTTACATACTAACATGACACTGTTTCTTGTGGCATTATTCATGATATTTAAAATACGAAAATTTAATTAACATCATAATTTACATGATAGTTGCCTTGTAAAGCTTTTAATGACTAATATCCTATGCTTTTGTTTTATTAAAAAAATAAAGATTGTCTTGGACAATTAAGTTTATATAATGTATAACATAAAACTCTCATCTCTAAATAACTTTGGAGGTACATAGAACAGCCTTTCGTTTTATATGTACAAATATACATGTATATATATATATATATACTATATATATATTCACCTCTGGGTCTGTTATTGGATTCAGCTATTAAATATCATTTAGACCGCCATTTGTCTGTCCAGCCCTGACATTGTCTAAAATTCTGTTCACAAATTCTGAAGTCTTACCGGCAATTTTCACTTCTGAAATACAAAAATAATGGCACATTGGCATAATTTTGCTCACTAGAAAATTGAAGCTTGATGAGAGTTCTGATTTTTTGTTTTTCTTCTCCCAGAAAACAATAATTTGTTCATAGTATAATAAGACATCATTCATTTTAATAGTCTACACAATGTAGAAAACATTCCATAACAATTCAATAACACTTACCAGTGGCTGTGTTTATTATTCCTTTAACATGTGTATTCCAGTCAACATCACTCTGCATATTAACTCTGCTGTGTATTACATGTTTCATCTGCTGTATTCCATTCAGAAGTCGCTCTGTAAATATTATTTTATTAAACGAAGTGAGTCAGATAAATATTACGTTCCCAGTGGTTGTTTAATCTGGACATAAGTCATTATTATGATAAAATATCTAGAACATGGATGATGTAATAACGTACAATATTTAGTGATAATTTAATTCATTGATTTTAGATATTCTAGACAGTATGAACTCAAAGAAAAATAAGACTATAATAATGTATTCAGTTATGTGTTTTTGTACATGCATTCATAAATGAATATTTTTATACCATCTGCATAGGTATATAGTATAAAATTTCAAATAGACTATTATGCAAAATTATTTGTGTATGTTTGAACAAATGTAACTCAAAACCTGTCACATTTTGAGGAAGACTTTCAATTTAAATTATGTCCAATGATTTCAAGAGGCTTTATTTAATTTAAACTGAATTAAATTTTGAAATTGTTAAAATTAGAAAATAATGTATTTTCTAGAATGATTTGAACTGCGTATCGCTAAATCGAAGCACGCCAGGCTCTTGTTCTTTAGAGCCAGAATGCCTCAAAAGCTACATCACTAAGTTGCTGCTGGTGCGTAGATTTACAAGGAAAAATAGTATTGACTCTTGATGTTGTGTTTAGGTATGAATCACATTTAATGAAACAGATACTTAAATCCAAAAGCGTTTTAAAACAACATCGTATTTACATTTTGCGGGCTAGGACACATGAACGAGATCATTAAAAGAAAACATAGCCAATTGCGAACTTTATTAATGAAGACAATCTAAATTAGGGAAAGTCAGAAATCTATTTCCGCCAGTATTTCTACATAATAATAAAAACTGTATAAAAAATTTGATTTCAATCAACATCTAATGGGATTTTTTTTTAATTTGAAAATAAATACTTACTGTGCTCATTTTCCAACCCGTGTAGTTTAATTTTATTTGCTTCATGCTGGGCTTTTTTCTTTAATCTGCAGGCTCTAGAAGCCAGCTTGTTCTTCTCTTTTCGTGTCTTTGGTCTAACATTGAAAGGCAACTCACTGACAGGTATCATATCGTTTATGACTTTGCCCAAATTATCTAGCTCTTTTCCGATTACATACAGCTTTCGAGGATTAGGAGTTAGGTCATTACCATCGCCTTTCCTTGCTTTACCACTACAAAATTACACATCTAACATGTATATATTTTATCCAAGTTGTTACTTTTACTATAAACATTGATGCCAACAAGTATTGATTGATGTCTATGGATTCAGATAACCATTGAATACTAGTTGAATCGTGAACTAATTCGTTCACGATCTGAGCAATAATTAATAATTATAATCATCAGTGGTTTCAATGAGAAAATAGTTAATTGAGAATTAGCCAAACAAATTTTACATTGAAGTGCTTTAAAACAGCTTAGTTAATATAGCTCATAATTCATATAATTTATTTATTATTTTTAAATTCTATGACTGGAATTTCAGATTTAAATCACTTCTTTTTTATCAGGTACCTGTGTTTGATTCCTCTTACACTGCAGCTAGGACTGAATACAGGATCAGTTACAGAGTTCAATATATGTGGATCCTCTGACTTTTTATTCAAAACCAGTCTTTGACCTTTAGGACCTTTTGCTTGAACATTGTATTGCCAAAAATACTTTTCTTTCTTAGCATTATGTCGTGCTTGTTTAGTTTCAGACTCATCATTGGATTCTAGAAATTCAAAGGATTTTATTTTCTCACATTGTTCATGTACATTGCAAATTGGTAGACAAAACAGTTTTGACTGCAAGTTACAAATCATGTAAATTATTCTGCTATTTGACAAAAGAGTTTAGAGAATTGTTTATTGCCTATCTAGTTGAAAAATATCACAGCACAGTCTTGATCAAAACATGAATGGTAAACATGAGAGATGCAATTTTGATCTATTTTACAGAATAACTGCTGCCTAATCCTTCAAACTGACACATACTGCTTCACAGCAGAAAAGAGGTGATGACATATCATCACCAGTAAGTATTATGTGCAAAAATTATGTTGAATTGGGTAGAAATTTTTGGTCTGTCTCTAGAAAATATCTGACCTATATTAAAAAAACATATATATTCAGAACCAAACAACAAAATGAGTTGGTTTGAGTTATTATTGTGGATAAATGTATTGTTCAATCCTACCATCTGAGGAGAGATCTTCGTATCTATCACTATCCTCATCAGATTCAATGTCTCTATCATCTTCATCTTGTGAATACTCTCCTGCCCCAGGACTTAATAGACCACCAGACAATGATGAAGCAGACCCTGCCTCAGCCAATGAGCTGGTAGATAGTAGATGTTTACGTGGCTCCCTTCTCTGCCATATCTATAAAACAGAATTATCCAGATAGCAAATGTTTTAAATGTATGATATTACAGTGACAGATCGTTGACCAACCCACATTGCTAAAGAGCAGCAAGGCAGTACACATACAAACAGTTCTCTTTGTACAACTGTGACATGCAGTCAATCAAATTTAAAATACTCTTTTACATAGCATTTTGAAAATTTTGATTATTAGTTAGGATAATGTTGAATGTAGGTAAAATAATACCTGTTCCATAGTCAAATGTGTTGGTGCAGATGAAGAAAGCTGTGTCTGTTGTGGCTTAATATTTGTAGGGTATGGAGGCAGTACTGTAGATGCTGGTACCGACTGCCCTAAAACTATTTCACCACTGTAGCCATCCATACGAAGTAACATCTCTGGTAACTGGTTCATAGGTTGTGCAAAACTTGATGATGCACTGCTGTGCTGACTTGCTGGTGAAAAAGCCTGTTGAACTTGACCATAAGGACTGCAGGGACTATCAGTTGGCATGGCATTGTTAGTCTGCATGCCAGGTCCACGCCGCGATCCGCTCATGACACCTCCAATTTGTACACAGTAACCACTCTCCTCCGGAAGCAGTAAGTCATCAATATTCAAGTCATCTAATAATGTGTCTGGATTTGCATTAAGTTCAGCCAAAGTTGGTCCTAATATTAAATCGGCTTTATCAACTTGAAAAATATCATCATCATCCATTTTAAATGTGTCGATCTTGGAAGAATTATCTGCTTCAAATTTACCATACTGCATGGAAGGAACACTGTGAAATGAACCAGCCAAGCTGTCCTGAAGGCATAAGTCTATTTCAGAGCTGAAGTCACCGAGATCGTTGCGGCGTTGCGGTATAGGCACAGAAGCAGACATGGGTCCCAGTTCATACGGTAGTTCCTGTTTTATCTCTACGCCTGGCTCAAAGAGAAAATCATGTGTGTAAATAGAATCCGACATTGCACGTGTTTGCGTCGATTGACCTTGACGTATAATAGTCTTGTTGATAGAGACTGGCGCACGCGCCTTGCGCCTCTATCGATTATTTCACAGAGAACCCACGTGTCTGTATTTTTGTTATGTTTTTTTTAATATTTCGATCACGAAAAGATAGACCTTCCCATTATTATCAACTGTAATAATATATCAAATATTTGTGTTAACACGACTCGATTACATAATTTGTTGAAAATTCAAATTAAAAAAACTAAGATTCTGCAATAATTCAATGACTTTCGAAATTACTCACAAAGCTAACTTTTGATATCAAGAATATCACGTCTCAGTTTAGTTTCCTTTTACTGTAAAAACACCACACTATATTATTATGCACTTGCTTTTGATCAAAACAAAATTATATTATTATCACACAATAACAAAACACTTGCCCAAGATAGTCGAAGTAAACAAAGATTTTATTATTATTAATCAGCGAACTCAAAGGTCATCGAAAGGAGACAGCCATATTTGTACCCTGTAATGAAAAAGAGAGAAAAGACTACCCTGTCAAAATTGGCGGAACAGGAAGATGGTGATGTCTATGACACAATATGCAAAAACAGAACACTCAACGATGCAAAGTAGAGTGCCTTGTCTATGAAAAATATTTTGAAGTAGGAAGTCAATATTGCTAATGGTCTTATTGAATTATTATTTTTGGCAAACATAAGCTTGCCCTGTAGAAAAACCCCAACAAATAGTATCTACAAAGGGCTTATGTGGAGAAATGAAATAAAATAGCTAGATGTTTCTCGGGGTTTTTCATAAAGTTTATTAAACCATTAATAGGTAATGCCTCACCTTTTCTTTATCAGTTTTTTATTTTATTTTATGGCCTGATTACTAGTTCAGATATTTATTTCCTACCTCGGTGCTGCCTGATCTCAATTAGTTTATTTTCATTCAGTCATACAGTCTACTGGTGGTAGGACCTCTTGTGAGTCCGCGTGGGTAGGTACCACCACCCCGCTTATTTCTGCCGTGAAGCAGTAATGCGTTTCGGTTTGAAGGGTGGGGTAGCCGTTATAACTATACTTGAGACCTTAGAGCTTATTATATCTCAAGGTGGGTGGCGCATTTACGTTGTAGATGTCTATGGGCTCCAGTAACCACTTAACATCAGGTGGCCTGTGAGCTCGTCCGCCCATCTAAATAATAAAATAAAAAAAATTCAGTCATACGCTGTATAGTGTATGACAATATTAATTTTATTGGTTTTTAATTATCGATCAAAATTTTTGCCACTTACATCTGGGTTTGAAATGAGCTCCCCTCCACGGTCTTTCCCGAGCGCAGTGTGTATTACACTGTAGACAGCGGCTTAGTTCTTCTCCTGGCATTAATGTCGTCCATGAGCGGCGGTAACCACTCACCATCAGGTGGGCCGTGTGCTCGTATGCCTACACGTCAAACAAAACAATGGTCGTCGTTGACTAAAGTATAAAACGCTCGGTGCATTCGTAACAAGCGATACAATAGCGTCCCACAGGCAGGTAAAAAAAATTCTAATGAATTATGTATATAACGAGTGTTTTTATTTAACTTCCACGGTGAAGGAATAACATTGTGTAACATCAAACCCGCAAATGGATATTTTGTGTACTTATTCACCAATAAGTACAAGTAGAAAGTCTTGTGAGTCCGCAAGGTAGTTGTAGGTACCACCACCCTAGCTATTTCTGCCTTGAAGCAAGAATTGCATTTCAGTTTGCAGCCGCAGGCAGCTGTTATTCTGTGAGCTTCATCTAACACCATGTGGATCGTGATCTCGTATACCTATCTATGCAATAAAAAAACATGTTTCGAGTTTTCAACACTACGTTCCATAAAAACCTGTAACTCGTCGTGTTCCTATTTAGAAAAGGCATTCCTTTGCCTTTTGCAAATTAGAAATCAAACTTCATAACAGCCAGCTGAATGTCAAAAATCATTCAAAATATAGTACACAACACAAAATCTCAGAGTAGTAATTACAAAAGCAAGTACCTAGGTACCTACCTATTAATTACTCTGAGCACAAAATAGAGCCCATAGGTCATATACAAATAATACTAAAGCTTTAAGCATACCATAACACTAAATACGAATTCTTATTATGGGTGACGAAAATTTAGGTTCCAGTGAAAAATGTAATAGTTCCAAAAAGTTTAAAGTCATTATCATTGGCTGTGGAATAGCTGGCTTATCCTCAGCCAACTATTTGCTTCAAAATGGCATGGAAGATTTCTTAATATTAGAAGCAAGAAAACGTATCGGTGGACGCATAATATCTATACCAATGAAGAGTCATAATGTTGAGCTCGGTGCTAATTGGATTCATGGTGTTTTAGGAAATCCTATCTTTGAATTAGCAATGTCCCACAATCTAGTAAATATAATAAATATACCGAAGCCCCATAAAGTTATAGCAGCTACAGAAAATGGCAAGCAAGTGCCGTTTGGTATTCTGCATGAAATACATGAGGCCTACGTATGTTTTCTTAGGCGATGCGAAGAGTATTTCTTGTGTCAATATTTACCTCCCCCAGATATACACAGCGTTGGAGAGCATATAAATTTAGAAGCAACTTTATATTTGGAGCGCTTGCCATCTTCTGAGGAAAAGAAGCTAAGAAGACTAATATTTGACTGTTTGTTAAAACGTGAAACCTGCATATCAGGTTGCCACAGTATGGATGAAGTAGATCTTCTTGAATTAGGTAGTTATACTGAACTTCAAGGAGGTAATATTATGATACCTTCAGGTTTTAGTTCTATTTTAGACCCATTAAAGAAAAACATAAATGATAAAAAAATATTGACAAACCATGCGGTGAGGAAAATTATATGGGATTCTGATGTAAACCAATCACTGAAATCACTTGATGATACGGGTGAGGAATCTGAAGATTCTGATCAAACTGTGATAGAAGACAACTCTAAAATTTCACCTGACAAATCATTAAAACCTAATATAGAAAACTCTTTACAAGATATGACTCAACAACCAAAGAAAAAGTACAATAATTATGTTGAGATTGTGTGCGAAAATGGACAATCATTTCATGCAAATCATGTAATTTGTACTATTCCACTAGGTGTTCTCAAAGAGAAAGCATCAAGTTTATTTGAACCAAAGCTGCCATCATACAAAATGGAATCAATTGAAAAATTATTATTTGGTGTTGTAGATAAAATATACTTAGAGTATGAGAGACCCTTTTTAAACCCAGATATAACGGAAATAATGCTTTTGTGGGAAACTCCTACTACACCTGAAGATATGTCTCAGTCTTGGTACAAAAAAATTTACTCATTTAGTAAAGTATCAGAAACTCTCTTATTAGGATGGGTTTCTGGTAAAGAAGCAGAGTATATGGAAACATTGTCTATGGAAGAGGTGGCAGAAACTTGTACAAAAATATTACGAAAATTTCTGAATGACCCTTTTGTACCGGAACCTCAAAAATGTGTTTGGTCAGTATGTATTATTATATTGTCATATTGGTGATTATAGAGATTTGATTAACTGTTTTTAAGACATACTATTTACCTAATGGAGTATAGTCATTATTGATCTTGGACATTGACAATGCTACAAGTACAAGCCTAACTACTGCTACTTATGCTAAACACTGGAAAGACAATTCTAGGATCAGATGGTATATGATAAATATGGTGTCTGGACCTGAATCTGATCTGGAGTGGCCATTATTTCTGAAAGTAAAAAGTATTATAATATTGCTCAAGCAAAATATATTTGTTTGTAACAGTAAATTTTACACAGAAGTGAAAATTATAAAAATAAAAAAAAATTAATGCATAAATAAGTGCAACATATAGTTTGTGTGTTTACCACTACATATATAAAATTATAACTCGCAAAAGCCTCAAAAAAATACTAAGTGGAAATTATTCTTTGTTCCTTATACCTCATTATTTTCATTATCATTTTGCTTTATGTAATGAATTATGTTTCTTCAGTACCAGTTGGAGAGAACAGCCCTATACGAGAGGATCATATACTGCAATTGCTGTTGGAGCCAGTCAAAGTGATGTAGAGAGTCTTGCTCAACCAATCTTTAGAAATGTACACGATAAGAAGGTATTAATATGCTAAAACGATAACAACTTAAAATACTCTGAGGTGTTATGTCTCGTGTATAATAGTAAATATGCATCTTATTTGAATTATATTCATTTTTTTTATCATTATTTCTGAAAAAATAACTATTCCTTTTAAATGCACTAAATGCCAAATCAAATAAAAAGTATAAAGCTGTAACATTAATTTACCAATACTCTAAAGTACTAATAGTTGGTCTTTAAGAAAAATAGATTAAAATTGCATTTTTGGACAGTTCAAAATAAATGTTCAATATTTTTTGATGAGATGTAAGTGCAAAATCAAATAAAACCATAACTATACGAGACAACAGTGAAAATAATATTATTTATTTGTTAGTTAATTTTAATCTTTTTGGGTTTCGGGATACACAAAGGAGCGAGTCAAAACGACTCTCTTCCAATCTCGTCCGCATATGTGTGCCCCGCGTAGGATACACTCTCAGAGACGTAGATGGGGCTGCCGAGGTCAACTCTGCACACAAACGATTAGCATTCCAAAGGCATTCACTGTTTTCATACACTGTTTTTCTATATATTTTTTAAACCAGATTGGGTAGGGTATAAACCTAAAAAACGAACCTGGTTAGTATTCAATACAAAACTGTCTTCAAGACTATCTATATCCACATATCAAGGGGTGAAAGACGACATTTCGCTTATTACACGATATTTCGCTTATTACACGACATTTATCTTTGTAACTAGAGGTGCGTTTTATTTGGTATTAGCATCAACATTTCCATGTTTTTAATTGAACTTCAATTAAGCTTACTCCATTCAATTAGGTTAAGAAGTTTTGTGTTATGATATGCTTTCCAAATTTTAAACTTGAAATGGCTCTCCTGTAAAGTTCCAAAAATGTCGCTTAAACCAAATAGCCTTTCACACCTCGAATTAACACCGTTAATAATAATTAATGGTTGCATAATAGTTGTGGCTTGGGCAACTTAATGTAATGATTAGTTCTGGATTCTGGATTGTATTTATCAATGGCAGGATTAAGCGTCTCATTATTTTTACTAGTAATCTTCAGTATACCCCATGATCGTGATACTTGCAACAACGCCACAATATTGAGAACTGATTGAAACTAGAAACCATGGTAAAAACCGGTTAAATAATAGTGTTCACTTTTAACTATTTCACAACATTCTACCCATTCATTAGGTAATCAATCATTAGGTAGGTAATGGTTAATTGTAAAAAGTAGAACCATTGTTTTTATATTTATATTTGATTTCATAACAATATACACTTCTGATCAAGAAATGGAAACACTATCTCGTCATTTATGTATTTGCCTACTTTTAAGTCCTTTTTTTATTGCCAAAAGAGCACTCCCGAATTATTTATTAAAAGTGGATAAAAATCTATATAAAATTTAATGTAATATTTAATGCCAAACAAATCAAACTTGTATTTTTAAATATCTAATTGAACATTTTCATCAATGTGTATTACTTATAACACTTATGTAAACATTGAATTATAAAGAAAAAAATATGCATATTTTCTATTGTCATATTTAATTTTGAAACATTACTTAAAAAATATTCGAGAGATTTCCTTGTATTCAATGCAGAACGTAAAAAAAAAGTATCGTGGTGAATTTCTTTTTCAGCCTGTTCTACTCTTTGCCGGAGAGCATACACACAGCAGCTATTATTCTACGGCACATGGTGCTTATTTATCAGGTCAAATAGCAGCTCGAAGACTTCTAGCACCTGATGAAGCGTCAGAAGGCACACTTGACTGTCCAGATTCAGCGGATCTCAATTCTTGGATACAAGGAATACAGCTGGAAGGGTGATAAAGTTTTACTANTTTTCAGCCTGTTCTACTCTTTGCCGGAGAGCATACACACAGCAGCTATTATTCTACGGCACATGGTGCTTATTTATCAGGTCAAATAGCAGCTCGAAGACTTCTAGCACCTGATGAAGCGTCAGAAGGCACACTTGACTGTCCAGATTCAGCGGATCTCAATTCTTGGATACAAGGAATACAGCTGGAAGGGTGATAAAGTTTTACTAAATTCAGTATACACGAAGTCTTTTTGAAGAAATTTGTTTTGTTGCGATACTGGCTTCATACAAAACATTACTTTTACTAGTAATATTTTAGTAACAAAAAAGTTGCCTTTGAATTCATCATCAAATTACTTGAGAAACGTCGTCGAATCTATAAAAGGCATATGAATAATGAGTACCTATAAATTTGGAAAAAACTGAATTAAAGGAAAACACTAAACTTTTCTAGACTGAGACACTTATCAAAATTATAAATAATTTTACAACTCGACATATAAATACGACACAATAAGCAATGTATCACTAATAGATAACAATCTAAACAAGGATATTTATTAAATAAGGGATAGGTACAATGATATCGTTATAGGGGATCTTAATGAAATTAAAATATCATATTGGTAACCAAAAAATTCCTTCAAATATTTAAGATTTACATAAAACTAGCAGACCCGAGAGACGTTGTACTGTGAATGCATACACAAAAATTCATTAAAGTCGATCCAGCCGTTAAGTTGTAGTATACATAAATAACCTAGGTACCGACTGCAGCGCCACCTTTGTGAATTTAAACCATCCAGGGCGCCGCCCAAACAAATTCATTCAAATCGGTCCAGCCGCTTAGGAGGAATATAGTGACGTATACACGTACAGTAGAATTAAATATATAAAGATTATTAAAGAAAATTAATAGTTGTGACAATTTTACGCATCATGCTGAACATAGCGGTGTAGTGCACGTTTGATAATTGGACCGTCATTTAATTTGGTCACGAATTATGTCACATGTAATGAATTTACATTCTGTGTTAGTGCGAGTTTCATAACGTTGTCGATAGCGTAAAAGTTAATCCAAATTTTGTATGCGGTTGGAACAACGCCTCTAGTGGTAAACGTTCCAACTCCATACAAATTTGAGTTAACTTTTACGCTATCGACAACGTTAAAAAACTCGCACTAAGCACACTGCAGAGCTTTATAGAGTATGTATGCTAGACATATTTAAAAATAGGAGCTGTCCTGTTCCCCGCGCGCCGCGATAGGGCAGCGCATGATTAATAATCATCACCCGAGTAATCATTCACGATAGGAACAAATTACAGCGTGACTGCTGTAGGAATCATGAGCAGTCCACCAATGAATCATAAGAGAATTGTTGCTTTTCTTCTTGCTCTCAATTTTTTCAGTTCTTTCGGTTATGAGGAAGTCGCCATTACGTTTCACGATATCGCCATTGACTTCTGCTATTGCATTTAAAAACTTCGAAAAATCGAAACAAGCACCACGTGAGATAGTTCAATTTAATAAAGCTAGCCTGGTATAGCGTGCACTATTGAAAGTTTGTGCAAGTGAACAAAATTAGAGAAAAGATACTTTGTGATTTCTTTGTTCGCCTGAAACTGTAATTTTGGGGGTGTCATATCGTCCTGATTTACAAGAAATAGTTACTAGAATCAACTGGAATATATGGTTGCAAACTATCTAGTTTACAGATTTCTATAAGAGACTACCGAATGCACTGTTGAAATGTAATCAATAACGATTTATTTATATTCCGAGTATCCGGCTCATGCGGATTAATGCCTTCGTCCAAATAAGAGGCTCAGAGCTGTTGAAATCCCGCAGATTGGTACCAATTTTTCTCATCAGATCCGTACATTACCTGTTCATGTATAACTTCTACGATGAAGGAATAAAATCGTGTGATTGAAATCAAAGTACTCAAATAAATTTGCGTAATTTCTCGTAGTAGAGTGTATGGTAAGCCCGCACGGGGAAGTGCCACAAGCGTTTTATTATACATTTTAGACTTGGACCCCATGTCTCGAGGAGGATGGCGTCATTCACTAAGTCTAGGGGTCCCGGCAAACATTTAACGACAGATGGACCGTGAGCTTTTCACTTGTTTATGAAATAGGTAATAATATTAAGAATATACAAAATTTTAATGACAGCGCAGGACTTATTGAAGTTTGTATCGCTTGATTCGATAATACAAAGCCTATGAAACTTTTCTTCGTGCAAATCAGATTTTTTCTTCATTTAATCACTTCGACTTCATTTAGTGGTATAACGACAAAAAGAATATAATACATAACTCATTATATTATTAATAAAAGCATTGCCTAGTCACACCTCTAAAATATATATTGGGTTCCTGAACTAGGTACCTACATATGCAAATTACGATTTTTAATAATACAATCGACTGAAGTGTCTGATCTAGCAACTTTTATTTAAATTCTTTAATGCGACCTTAAAGCAGATCGATTCAAACGTATGCTGAATCGAATCGTATACCTATCGGATCAATCAAGAATATGCTTCCCCATTTGTTAATTAATTTGTATAATATTAAAATTAGTACAAGTAGTAATTTTTATTTAAATAAGATTTTGTTTGTTTCTCGAGTGTGATATATTTTAAATTATCGGGTAATTTCTGTGCAATTTTAGTGAACATTATTTCAAATTGAATTGAGTTTTTTTGATCGCGATGAGATTAAAATATAATGAAATGTAGATACATATTTAGTAGTAGGTACATTTTACTAGTAATATGAAATTTATTGTTGTTATTGTGAAAAATGTTGCTGTGAAATTTCGATTGAAATGTACAGAATTTTTTTATAAATAAAATTTAATTATTTATTTCGGGGTCTTTGGAAGTTAAGGTAGGTACATTAATCTGAGTCGAGTGTAAATATGAATATGAAATGGTGGAGCCGTAAATGATTAGAGTTATTTCCTATAAAAGTAAATAGTCATAAGTCGTAGCACACATAATAGTGTGCGAGAAAAGCACACAGTACACCACGTCACATGGTACGGAACGCACTTGGTGATTCAGAGCTCTCATTTTTTGAAAATAGTATTTTAAATTATTCACCAATATAAAATAATTATTCACAAAATGAAATGTTTAACACTACAAGTCCGACTGGCGGGACTTTTGTGAATTTTCGTGAGTTCGTTGTTCCGGGCTGTTGGCGAAGATGATATAGAAATAATGTTTACACTGATTTGGTATGAGGTTTTAATATAAAAAGCGACACAATATGTAACTAACATAAAATACAAAATGAGTTGAGAATCGTACAGTTAAACTAAGACTCGCAATATTTTACTAGTCGTCGTCGTCGCGCGCGCTGAGGGCGTGTATTTTCGCGCTCAGAGAGCTCTGTCTCAGCGGGGGGGTAAGGCGACGGCGGGGGGCGGTATCGCACGTTCGGAAATTTCGTTCCGTTATAAATGTTTTTTAATTATTTAGAAACTGACTATTACCTATTTAATATTGCTTAGTAATGAACCATGCAGAAATTATCAATTGGAATATACTAACGATGTTTTATACATTTGTAAACTGCCTAGAAATCATCGAAGAATTAAGTACCTACCATTGTAAAATACTAATCATCGATATTTTTACATATATTACATACTTATTTTTTATATTATAATATTAGTGTTCAAAGCTGAAATAGAAGAATAGATATATTTTATGTTGACACAATAATTATTCTTGAGTTTTTTTTTTATGTAGTACAATTCCTAGCAGTGTTTAGTAGTGGAAACCAGAGGATTAGTTTTGCAAAGTAATAAAACAATTACACAATAGGTTTATACATTTTTTCGAAAAACTCTATCCGCGTTTACATAAATTACGATACCTTAACTTTTTATGGACTTTGCATTACACACTTCTTTGACTGCCTTAACAAATGCAGAAAAATGATTCACTATAGATCCTTGTTGTCTCAATTGCACTAGAGGCCTGTTTCGCTTGCGCGAACCAGCAACTCGAAGCGATTTCGGCCAAATTAAACAAACAAGTGTATACAAACAATAAAATTTCACCAGTTTATTCATTTTAAGTCGATAACAACTCGATTTAAGACAGCGACCAACTCGAGTTAAGACATCAGTACCTACTGCTTGAGTTCACACTTGAAATCGGCGCTGCTCGAGTTGACACCAAATCGGTCGGGTGTCGATTTATGTGTATTATGTATGGGCGTCGTCGCTTGAGTGCAAAGGGTTAATTCTCTTGTTTTCCTCGCAAATTTCACAAGCTCCTTGTTGTGTAGCTACCTAGAAAGGCCGGTATCAGGCTACATTACTTTGAAGTACCTAGTAAAAACTTCTGACAAGTTTTTGAACTTGATGATAAAATCAATTAGTCTTATCTTAACAAACCGTTTACTCGAGCTGTTTTCACATCGTCTGGTGATTGCTATTGCTAGTTAAATTATAACGTGGGTAATTTTCTTGTATCGAAAGAATTTTATAATAATTAGAAATGAAACGTAACGCTATCACAGTTAATAAGTAGCATAAAGCGTATAAACTGACAATTCGACGACATCATGGAAATATTTACTGCTCTAAATGAACCTAAAAGTATTTTATCATATCAATGCAGCAGCACTATATTACGTGAGCTCAAAATGAAGCACAAAAACATGACACGTCCCTCGAATTCATGCGAGAAGGGAGGTTTGGCGCCTTAGCTGTTTGAAATTAGAAAAAATGGCATACGATGCTTTAATATATAAACTTTTTTGAACGTATTCTCGTGAATAAATAACATCTTATCGTGTTATCAATCACCAGCTGAAAATATAAGCCAGTAGTAACCTGTCTTCTTTTATCCATTTTTCGTGGACAATACAAGAAGTAATTTATGTAATGCTTCTCAACTAATGTTTAGTTCCAAAATTTAAAAAAATTATCAAGTTGATGTATTAGATATAAAGCTAGATTGTAATAGATTTTCTAGTCAGCGTAATGTTTTTATATTGCTTTAATTAAATGATCAGAATAACTCCATTGTTTTATTATTTTTAGTCAAGCTCCGTTGAAAACACAAAATAACAGCAAAGCAAAGCCGCCGTCGCCCAAAACATGTCTTGTTGGATCTCCCGGATCCACTCTCAGTGCTTTTAGGCTCTATAATCTATAAGCACCGGTCACCGTCTTCGTCGAACTCGTAGACGCTGACGCACAGTTCGACGGCAAACTAGCCCATAGACACAACCCACTGAGTTTCTCACCGGTGTGCTTAGTGCGAGTTTTTTAACGTTCTCGATAGCCTAAAAGTTAGGTAGCTCATATTTGTATGGAATGGGTTCGTTTGCGTATGTTTTCCGCTATGAGCGCTGTTCCAACTGCATACAAAATTGGCTAACTTTTACGCTATCGAGAACGTTAAGAAACTCGCACTAAGCACATAGATCTTCTCACTTCTCAGTGGGTCGCGATTCCTATCCGGTAGTAGATTCAGCGAAGCACTGCTCTTGCTAGAGCTAGTGTTAGCAATTCTCTTAGGTTGAGCCCGTGAGTTCACCTATCAGTCCGCGCGAAGTTGGAATAGCCTCTTAGGCTACCAACGATTAGGTAGGGAAAAAAAACAAACGATCGATCATCTCGTTTCGACTATTAATAGTGAAAGATCTTCAAAATATATTCATCTTTCTTAATCTACAATGATGTTGCATATGGTCTAACTTTCTGTATCTTCATTGAAATGTTTGGATATAAGTATTAACTATTTTCAATTTCTTATTTAAAAATCCAAATATAACAGTATATCTACAATAAACAAGTTTTCAGTAGTTTATTAACATTTTATTGAGTTTATGTTAAGTTACCATTCTTACCACAAACAATAACAATCAATTTTCTGAGGGTTATCATATATGCATTTTAATTTAAAATTTATCAAGTAATGGAGAGCAACTATATTATGTAATTATGTGCAAAGCTTTAAGTGTTAGACCAATTCCAAAAATAGGCCTAAGACCATTTTGAAATTCAGTTCAAAGTTGTCCCCTAAAACTAGTATAATCATTCATTTAATCAGGAAACATTTATAAAAGTAATCTTATGGAGATTAATTTTATAAAATTTATTCACCAATAAAATACTTTAAGAACAGATTTGATTAGAACTTGAAATCTAAACTTTAAAAGATAAGTATTAATGAAAGTCAGTTAATATTGTAAAATAAAATGTAATGCAAACATGTAATAACTACATAAAGCATTTATTAAGTATCAGATTATTAACATAGTGTAATAAGTTAAAATATCTTATAAGAATGGACGGAATACTATTATTTGTTAAATTAGATTAGTACACTTAGTTTAATTATTAATTATATATGTAATTTTATGAACATAAAAATAGTGTAGCTTAATATGATAAAATCAGTAATAGTTTTATTAAGGGAAATAAGTAATAATTTAAGCCAATATTTATTTTTAGTTTAAGTTTTAACGGACAACATGTAACTCAATAGTGGAATTTTTGTTTGTTATCATTATAAGTAGCTTTTTCTCCAACTCTTGGGATACTTCTTGCCAAGCACATTTACCGATAAGAGGGACTTCCTCAAGAGGAGATCTAAATGCAACTAGGAGTGTGAGACAACACCCATCAGCACTTGGATCTGCCTCTACATTAAGCAAACCAAGTGGTCGATGTTGACTCACATCTGCTCCAAACATTTCAACCATAAATCTTCGTAAAGTGGAGTGTAGACTTTTATTAGGATTTATTTCAGAAGTTGGGAAATGTATTGATGTTTTTTCACTAAGTAGTACATGTAATCTGTTTGTACTTCTCTTTTTTATCACAACTATTAACCTGAGCAAATCTTTTGTATGAGGTGTGGAGGCAGGCAAAATTTCTTTATGCCAATTGTTAGGCTTTGTTTGTTTATAAAGCTTAGCCTTTTCAATTAGGTGTATGATATCATTAGCTCTTAATGTGATTTCTTCTAAACTAGATATCCATTTAGCTTGTAATGATTCTTTGTCAGCTCTTGCTGGTGTTTTCAATTCACCTCCAATAATTTCTCCTGTAAGTACAAACCTGTACCAGGAACCCCCAGCGGTTTCTACAACAAGTAAAGTTTTGAGGTCACACTGAAGACCAGTTTCCTCTAACACTTCTCTTACGGCAGCCTGTACAATTGTTTCTCCTTTTTCCATTCTGCCAGCAGGTAAATACCATTTCCCAGCACAGCTTTCTTTTGCTTCTTGCATCATAAGTACTTCATTGAACTCGTTTATAATAACACAAGCAACGACGTAGGTGACGTTGCCGCCAAGTACCGGTTTGAAATTAGATGGAGTAGTAGGCGTAATTCCTTGAGATTCTGCTACTGAGTTTTGATCTGCTATTGTAAAGTCACAGAAATCTTTCCCCTCTGAATCTAAACCCAAACCTTCAATCAATAGATTAAGACTGTTATTTACTTCGCGCGACATATTTACAGAGGTTTCCCTTTAATGTTCTTAATCAATGATTAAACATAGTGTATTTCTTCTTTGCTTTAAATCATAGTCGCGCGTAACCGAATAGTCATGATCAAATAAAGTTAGGACATATAAATCAAGTTTTGAAAATTATTAACAAACGTACCACTTTTAACTAGTCTCCGTATCAATAAAGATGAAATCACTGACTTGCGACTTTCTAACGTGTACAATTGTACATACCTACCTAGGTACCTACATAACAAACACATACCAAGTAGAAACTAACTGACAGCTGTGTATTATCTATGGCTTAAATAATAGGTTGGGGAAAAAGTCTTTTTGCATTTTAATCTGTATGAACTTGTAATAAAATCTCTTTGGTTATTAAACTATTTGTATCTGGCTGGTTTTGGTATCATTAAAAGTTTAAATTTTAAAGAAGATAATTCGTAATTCAAATTAGAAAAATTTGTGATTTTTATTTATTTTTCGTACTGTCAAGATGAGTGAATCTAATGAAAAAATTCGATACATTTTAAAATTTTACTACAAAAAAGGTACAAATGCAACGCAAGCCGCAAAATAAATTTGCGATGTTTATGGACCTAGTGCAGTGTCTGTTTGAGTAGCACACATTTGACTTAAGCGTTTTTAATCCGGAAATTTTGATGTCAAAGATGTACGTATTACGGGTAAAATGGATGCTATTTTTGAAAAAGTGGAGCAAGATCGGCATATCAGTAGTTACGACGTAGCTGAAGAACTGGGAATTGATCAAAAACAGTTTTGGCGCATTTGAAAAAAACTGGGTACACATAAAAGCTCGATATTTGGGTACCTCACGAGCTCACTGAAAGACACCTAATAGACCGTGTACTCATTTGTGATTCTTTATTACGAGGTAATGAAACGAAACCATTTCTGAAGAAACTGATAACTGGTGATGAAAAGTTGCATCATGTACGACAAGAAAGTGCGAAAAAGGTCGTGGTCATAGGCCGGTCAGGCTTCACAGACTGTGGCGAAACCCGGGTTAACTAGCAACAAGGTGATGCTGTGTGTGTGGTGGGATTGGAAGGGCATTATTTATTATGAGCTGTTATCACCAGGTAGGATCATCGATTCTGAACTCTACAGCAAACAACTGATGAGATTAAAGCAAGAAGTTGAGAAAGCGCCCGGAATTAATCAACCGAACCTAGTTTCTGTAGTTGCAAAGACTTCGGGTGGTTTTTCTGGCAGTACGACTTTTACTTCCAGTCGATATAAGCCACCTTGTTTTTGTCTTTTCCCTATTAAGCATACTTTCCCGTTGACAATGACGTTGCATTCAGTTGTCCTGGATGAAAAGGTGCTATTCGGGACTCGGTCGTAAAGTGCGAGTACGGAGAAGAGGTTCTTGCTTATGGCCGGAACGTACCAGATGTCTTGCAGGCTGATGTCGATTTGTTTTCCGTTAACATTGATATAATTTAAAATTCTCGGTAGCACAGAGTCCAATCTTTAAATCGCAGTATGCAGGCAGTTACGAAATAATATACTAACATACTTTTATAAATTAGTATTAGTTACGTCGATGTTTTTGAATTTATTATCGAAATCACAGTTTTGTTATTTTATTTTACTTCACGAAGTGACCGATATTTTTTCACTTATTCTTATGACACCTATTGTCACTGCTTTTTATGTATATTTTTTTGTTTTTTTTTTTTTTATAAAGTTTCTATATCTACTAACTCCAATAACACGACCCACTGAGAAGATCCGGTGACAAACTCAGTGGGTTAATTTACTTGCCGAATCTTTCCTCATATTCGAGAGATTAGACGAGAACGACGACGGGTGCTTGGAATGCCAAAATGCCGACAGCTTAAGAAAAGATTTCAATAGTATCACAGTATTAAAGTTTTTAGAAATGGTTCATTGTAAGGATAATAATTTTACAGCTGGTAGGTGCAATTAGTTGTTAGAATAAATCATACAGATCATTTTATTATACTTTTTTTTGGTTATTTTACACAATTTCCACAAAACCACAGTACAGTACAGCTAGTATTAGTAACGCCATCTATCGTCCAATAGCGAAAACGAATATCGATCTGACTAGTAGGTTACCTTTGGAAATACTTTGGATATTTCCTTTTTTGTCCTACCTAAGCTGAAAGCCTTGAGAGGCTATTTCAGCGTAGCGTTAACTATTAGGTGAGGTCACGGGGCTCAAACCTGATGACGTTGCTAACACGAACCCTAGTAAGAGCCGTGCTTTGCAGAATCTACCACCGGATCTGAAACGCGACCCACTAAGAAGATCCGGCGAGAAACTCAGTGGGCTGTGTCTGAGAGTTAATTTACTCGTCGAGCTCTTTGTCGCAAGCGACGGGTTAGACGAGAACGATGACCGGTGCTTGAGGTACCTAAAAGCACCGTTAGTGGATCGGGAGGATCCGAAATGACGTGTTTGGGGTGACGTCGACTGTTTTCCATTCTGTCCGCAGGCCGCAGGATCGGGAATGGGATAGTTGTTCACTGGTGGTAGGACCTCTTGTGAGTCCGCACGAGTAGGTACCACCACCACCCCTCCTATTTCTGCCGTGAAGCAGTGTTTCGGTTTGAAGGGTGGGGTAGCCGTTGTAACTATACTGAGACCTTAGAACTTATATCTCAAGGTGGGTGGCGCATTTACATTGTAGATGTCTATGGACTCCAGTAACCACTTAACACCAGGTGGGCTGTGAGCTCGTCCAACAATCAAAGCAATAAAAAAAGTTTTAGACATGTCGTGTCGACTGTAAAAGCATTGCAAAGACGACACGATCATAGATTAGGTACTATTTCAGAGAGAGGAAGACACTTAGTAATCAATTCTATTCGAAGCGAAACAGGGAATGGATCACCTGATGTGTAGTGAGGCGAAGCGAAAAAAGTATATTGTAATATAATAATTTAATAAATATAATAGGTACCTATATAATAAGTTTATAAAAATACTAGCGACCCGCCCCCGCTTCGCTTCGGAAACTAATTTATTATTGATTTCCCCACTATTTAATGGATGTTATTATACATATAAACCTTCCTCTTCAATCACTCTATCTATTTTAAAAAAAAACCGCATCAAAATCCGTTGCGTAGTTTTAAAGATTTAAGCATACATACATAGGGATATAGGGACAAAGAAAGCGACTTTGTTTTATACTATGTAGTGATATATATGTCAGCGGTTGCCTTGGATCACAGAGCGCACCTGCGCCCTTTGTCGGCTCAGGCCGCCGGCACACTTGAAACGTTCGACGGCAGGCGGCTCGGATCACCCCCGTCATCTGACTGCCGGAGTCCCGCAAGGCTCCGTGCTCTCCCCGTTATTATTTAGTTTGTATATCAATGATATACCCCGGTCTCCGAAGACCCATCTAGCGCTCTTCGCCGATGACACGGCTATCTACTACTCGTCTAGGAAGATGTCGTTGCTGCATCGGCGACTCCAGATCGCAGTAGCCACCATGGGACAGTGGTTCCGGAAGTGGCGCATCGACATCAACCCCACGAAAAGCACAGCGGTGCTCTTCAAAAGGGGTCGCCCTCCGAATACCACTTCGAGCAACCCACTCCCTAATAGGCGCGCAAACATCTCCGCCGTTAGCCCCGTCACTCTCTTTGACCAGCCCAGACCGTGGGCCTCGCAGGTCAAATACCTAGGCGTCACCCTCGACAGAGGGATGACATTCCGTGCCCATATTAAAACGGTACGCGACCGTGCCGCCTTCATATTAGGACGTCTCTACCCTATGCTTTACAAGCGAAGCAAACTGTCCCTCCGTAATAAGGTAACTCTCTACAAAACTTGCATACGCCCCGTCATGACGTATGCAAGCGTAGTGTTCGCTCACGCGGCCCGCACCAACTTGAAGCCCCTTCAGGTTATTCAATCCCGATTCTGCAGGATAGCCGTCGGAGCACCATGGTTCCTGAGGAACGTGGATCTCGACCTGGAGCTTGACTCTGTCAGTAAGTATCTACAGTCGGCATCATTGCGCCACTTTGAGAAGACTGCACGACATGAGAACTCTCGTGACGTGGCCGCTGGGAATTATATACCCGATCCTGTAGACCGAATGGTAAATAGTCGACGTCGCCCAAAGCACGTCATTACGGATCCTCCCAATCCATTAACGGTGCTTTTAGGTACCACAAGCACCGCTCACCGTTCTCGTCGAACCCGTCGCTTGCGACGAAGGGCTCGACGAGTAAATTAACTCTCAGACACAGCCCACTGAGTTTCTCGCCGGATCTTCTCAGTGGGTCGCGTTTCCGATCCGGTGGTAGATTCTGCGAAGCACTGCTCTTGCTAGGGTCAGCGTTAGCAACACTCCGGTTTGAGCCCCGTGAGCTCACCTACACACGTTAGGCTATCAGCATAGGTAGGATAAAAAAAAAGTCTCGGATCACACAGCGCACCTATATACACCCTTTGTCGGCACAGGCCGCCGGCAAACTTGCATCGTTCGACGGCAGGCGGCTCGGATCACAGAGCGCACCCGCACCATTCGGGCGTACGGTTCGGACGTCTTTTGCACTCGTTACGCTGCTTGTGAAAATAAACGAAGCTACTCGTGAAGTTTGGTTTTAAAACGAGCCATCACGACAAAACCAAAAATCTTAACGTCAGCATTACTGATGTCACACATTTTAAAAACACAGCGGATGCTCTTCCGTTACATGTAATATAATGTCAATACTATAAGAATCGTGAAAAATTACTTCAGTTTCAATTTGTACTCCGATAAATGTTATTACCGTCAAACTAGCCAACATTGCCCACATTTTTTAAATAACACTAGATATTTCAAGATTTTTGTACGTAGCCCAATACATATTTGCTTATCTATGGCAACAATAAGTTCATATGCATGCATGTGTTTATTTAAATTTAACATTAGTCATGGTTTTCTCGATAATACAATTTTCAAGGCGGGTAAAGTTTTCTAGACTTTTGGCCAACATTGCCCACCTTGAATTTTAGCACAACAATAACACTAGATGAATGCCATAAGAACCAATAAAAACATTTTGGCAATATAAGCGATCGCCCAAAACGTTTACTTAATATCATAAATATTTTCTTACTAAAATGAAAGGGCAATGTTATTCTGACATTTTTTCTCTTTCCCATACAAACGGTACGTAGCACAGTGGGTCGATACTATGATTTGAGTGACTTAGGGACCAACTTTGTTTTTTAACAAATTTTTTTACGTAGATAGATAGAGCTC